TGTTCGAGTTACAAATTCTAAATAATTCTATATACCGCGTATTTAGGGTTTCAGTGGAAGGGTATGGCAATTTTTTTCTTACTGAGGATTACGACTTAACGAGGTTCGAATAATCGAGCTTCCACGTAATGAAAACTATTGTTATACTAAAAATAATATTAATTATATAAAATAGGATTTATATGTATTATTGTAGATTCATTATTTTATTCTTTATATTGTCATTCTGATATAAAATACTTATTTGAGTTTTCTAACGTTGTCATCTTGAGTGGAAAAAGGGCGAAAAATGATGTGTAACTTAATTATGTGTAAATTAACTACTAACTTAATTGCAGGAGTTCTCGAATATCCTCAAAGAAGATTATTAGTAGCTAGCTTATCACTTATTAGTAGCTAGCATATAGGTACGGCTGTTAATTCGTAGGTCCTGGGTACGAGTCCAAGATGCAAGAGCGATCCAAGAGCCAAAAATAGTTATGGGTTACTTCTATTAATAAAATAAAGAATTTGGTAATTACAACCCTGTACCTTTACCACGTTCATAGCAAAATAAGTAACTAAAGTAACTAGCGTTAATGTTACTGTAACAGCGCCTGATAATTCAATATAATATTTATTTTGTAATATTACGTTGTTATTATTAAATTCAGCCAGGCGTCTCATTTTAATAAAATCGGACAGCAATTAATATTAAATGTACGTTTAGTTTAAAGTTTTATTAACCTACTAATTTGTTATGTCAAAAGTAAAAAAAATATTACCCATCTACAATATTCATTTTATTGTTGACATAAAAATGTTTGTATTTCATAGTATTACAATGAGAAACAAAATTTATTTTACGACCGAACACGTGAAACTGTATATCTAAAACTACTTAACGTATCTTCTTCAAAATATTTTTTATTTTGGAAGCCCTAGTATCTATTATAAGACAGTGGTAGCCCAGTGGTAACGCGGTCGCTTGGGAAACCGAGTGAAGCGGATTCAAATCCCGGGTCTTGCACCTCTCATATTTTCCCACTTGTCTTATGGTTAAAGAAAACATAGTAGGAAACCTGCTGGTTGAGAGAACCTAGCAAGTTTTCGAAGGACATGTGCAGTCTGCCAACCCGCACTTGGCGGACGGAGGTGGACTACGGCCTGATACTCCTCGTATTAAAGGAATAGATACATAGTATCAATTCAGAATTCTCTGAACCATACTTTAAAAGTTAGAGTATGGCACAATGTTTACGATTTTAGAAACGTATAATGCGAACGAAAATGCGAGAACGAAAAATTACAATAAATCCGCAAAAACATTAAAAAACGATAGTTTTATTTAAAACTAGCATTGCCCGCGGCTCCGCCCGCGTTCAGATTACCAAAAACCAAATTCTTGAACCAACATGTATTTCAATAAGATTTTCCAAAAAACATTTAATGTACAGATTCGGTTTAGTTAGAATTTTATTATATGTAAAGATGTCAAATATTCGCCTAAATCTAAGAAAGTATTATGAGTTAATTTTTTTTATCATAATACAGCAAAATTAAGCATATAGTTCCCGTCATCGGATCTATAATGTTTTTAAAAATTAATGAAATGACAACGAGGAAGATGAGAACTTTAAATGTTTGCTTTACCTTAATGTTAAACAAATTCTAGAGAACAATTTTAAAAGCCCCTTCTGAGCTCTTCGGTTCTACTTAGTTGAAAATGAAATATTGCACAATTAAGATCAATTTTAAAGACCTACTGAAGATGTTAATGTCCCACAGCGAAGGAAAACATTGTAAGGTTCCACCTGTATGACTGAGAGAACCTATGAAGTTTTTGAAAGATATGGGAAGTCTGCCAACCCTCACTTGGCCTGGGTGGCGGACTTTATCTCGATCCCCTTTTTATTGAAGGAAGGCCCGTGCTCAGCAGTGGGATGTCAAAAAGGGCTGAATACAAATGATGGAATGAGAAAATCAATAGAAAATTTTTGTGCCATCAAAAACATCCGGTATGAATAAGCCGAGCTGAGTTACAGGAAGTAGCTTCATAATAAAATTAATTCATTACTCACTCCACAAATATTATTAATGCTATCTTATTTTGTACTTCAACGCTAAGATATTAAGATTCTTATTTCCTTGTATATTACATATAAGTGGAATTATCTTTTGAGTAAATAGCATTACATAGAACAACGTATTGTGGAACATTCACAAATGAACACATCAAAGATACGAAGTTTTTATCAATAATAGTATGATAACATGCGTCAGGAATCTTTTACGATAATCTATAGTACCTAATATTATTCCCTCCATGACCGCGGACACGCCGGCGTTACAGTTAACAATAGATTTCTTAGAAATTTACCTGGAGGCGTTGTAAATGAGAAAGTTTGTGAGTATGGATGTGTGGATGTATGTTTCTCTTTCACGCCATAATGGCTGAATGGATCTGGATGAAATTTGGCACAGAGATAGATTATAGTCTGTGATAACACATAGACTACTTTTTATCCGGGAAAAATGTACGGTTAGCGTGGGATAGGTTTGCTTTTGCCTTTCTAGAGGCGAACACGAGCGAAGCGAGTGTGAGCCGTACCGGCTTTTAAGAATATAATAAGTTGTAGTAGCGACTTAAGATCGCTTCGCTTATATACCTCCCTAGGTGGCCTTTGTATTTAAAATATTACATATTATGATAACTATCTCCTAATTTTCTTAAATCTATCAAGAATATAATAATAAACGTACCCTCCTAAACGTTCACAGTCAAATAGTTATGTTAGAACTTAGAAGCAAGATACTTGTTACTGTTTAAGAAGTATAGCTAGTTACTTAAATTGGAAATAATTTATTGCTTCTACGACGGTTAAAGCAATTCACGTACACTCAGGTTACACGTACAGTAAAGCAGATATATTCGTGGCCCGATGTACGGGTCTACGGGAAGCTTTCCTGTAGCTATCCCATGGATCGATTGAATTAGTTCAAGCTTTCAGATCCACGGAACAATTTGCCGTACTTCTCAGATTTTTACTTCGGGCGAATAGTCTCTTCGATATTTTTTACAGGATCTAAATTAAAAACTAACAATTCTTATTATTACTAAACATTTCCAACTCCATTCGTTCCACTCTGGTCATAATTTGCCTTGGCAGATCTGGAAATCTATTAACAGATTCCGGACTCAGGTTGGCCGAAGCAAGGAAAACTTGTCGAGATGGGGATTTGCGGAGGACGGCCTGGAGTGCATATGTGATACCTACTGTGTACAGGAGCTTATGGACGCAACACACGACGGACACTTATAAAGCAACAATCGTGGCTGAGTTTTGGGCTGACTCAATTTAAAACTTGCCGTCGTTACTAGAAGAAGAAGATTAAACTTTGACAATCACTAACTGAAAACAAAGCCTTTACCACCAGTTAAATGAACCAATAGGATAAAATGCCGAGTCCTAAGAATAAGAAAAAAGTTCGGTAAAAGACTGTAGATATTTTTCACCTTAAGTGCTCTTACATTACAATTTATAATACTTTATGTTGAGATATTATTCCCCAATTGTGTGATCTTTTACAAAGCTACATAACAAAGAAATATATAATCAATGTTGGTATATTATACAAAATATATAACAAATGTGTCAAATACACTAATAAACTTAAAAGTAATAAAAGTGCTACACGTGCGGCATAATATATCAACCTAACATACTAAGTATACAGTGAATAGTTTAAAATTGCAAAGCTCTTTACTTAATAGTTTACTTTTGCCCCTTGCCCTAACGAATGCAGTCACATGAATAACTTATCTATCTATACATATTATCTTCTATCTTCTTCTATCTATACATATTATAAAATTCTAACTGAGCCGAATCAGTACATTAAATATTTTTTGGAAAATCTTATTGAAATAAACATTATTATCGATACAGAGGCCGAATCTATAGTTTTTAGAATTTTTGTTTGTCTGTCTGTCTGTCTGTTACCGCATCACGGAAAAACTACTGGAGGGATTTCGATGAAATTTAGTATGATGATAGCTGGTTATCCGGGTCAACATATAGGATACTTTTTACCGCGAGAAAATATATCATTTCTGAGAAAAAATACAACCTAAGAATTTGGTTTTTGGTAATCTGAACGCGGGCGGAGCCGCTGGCAAGGCCAATGCTAGTTTGTAATATACTTAAAATATAAACAAATTTACCGCTACTAACTTATAAAAGGGGTAACGACAAAATATGTGCAGTAGTTACGTTGAAACGTTGTTTCTTTAATATGACGCACTATCGGTATACGTTTAGTTGTATCATTTGCCACATCTAGGAACCAAATCCATAATCCTTTGTATAAAACTGAATAACAGTGTGCGATTAACTTATTTAAAATTAAATTCGATATTATTCGATTATAATTATTAATTCGATAATTACTTAGATTCGACTTGAAAATTAAAATTCTGCAAGTTTAGTAAAACCATATAGAAGAGAAAATATTTGAAATATAAGAACAATTTAAATAATTACAGATTATATCACTTTATACTAACATTTGTGGTAATGATAGTGTTAATTATGTTTATAAATGTATCTATTATTATATATTAAAATAGTTATCGATATCGTAAAAAAGAATTTACTTCGTTATCTATTATCTATCGATTTAAAGGCAACGTTTATAGATGTTTGTCAATCTTTACAAATATTACCATAAAAATACTGTCACAAAAATTAAAGCTAATGAGATGCACTGATTAAACATAGAAAGTAAATATGGAGGCCCTTTATACAGGGCTGAGGTTTATTACAAAGAATTTGGCACACCTAACGTTCCTATTTGCTATCTTATCATATTTACTCGAGATAACAATAAGTTATTGAGCACACAATATAGCACTCCAGTCTCTGACTACAATAGCGAAGCACCTGTCGTCGCAAAATTTTATCAATTAGATAAAAGATAATAAAAATAATGTGATTAAAAACCATGCTAGCGTAAGAACAATGGGTGTAAACGTTAAATTAATAGTTCTCATATTAGCTTTAAGTGTAAGTGCATTAGGAGATGATACTTTAGTAAATACAGAAAGTACTGTTAGTGTTAATGTGCCAGTTATCCCAGATGACGTCACAGCAACTGTCGAAACTAAAGATAGTAAAGACGAAGCGGTGGAGCTTTTAGAAAACGCTGGCGCATTAGATGTGAAAAGCGGTAAATATCAAAGAATAGATGGCGATAGCTCACTGACAAATGACACTCCAGTGGAATTGCAAACAATAGACTTTGGATCGTCTGATGTGCAAAATGAGCGACAAGTATACGGTTCGCCCAGCACTACATCTGTAACAAATACAGAATATGGTAAGTGAGATTCCCCCTTCTCAGCTTTAGAGGTACACCGAATTCACTTTCCGAAAATAATTTAAAATTTAATTATTTATTTAAAAAAATTATATAGAACCGCTATTGATTATAAAGGTACAATAAAAAATCATGAAAATTGCCTTATGACCAAAAAAACAGAATTGTGTATCGCTCCTCTTTGATTGCAGTCTAAGCCTATTTAGCCTTAGTATTCTAAAATACATATAAAATCGAAGAGAAAACGAAAACGAATCAAGTCGAGATCACAATAAAAATAAATAATTTTGACACCTAGAAGAATTGCGCTTCAGTAGTTACACAGCAATTTCGAATTTGGACTAAACATAACATGAAATACTCATTTATACGTTTATGCTACCTTAAAACAAATACAGTGTTCTTTTATTCAGATGGAATTACCTGTGACGATTTATATTTTAGTTGTAGTTAACTATAGAAATGTTGCGAATTGATGCAGTTTTATTTAAAACTAGTGACTCACCCTCGCTCTGCTCGGATTCGTCCCCGCTCACGTTTTAACGTTTAGTATAGATTTCTCAGAAATGAGATATTCTCCCGTAGTAAAAAGTATCCTATATGTTGACCCGGATAACCAGCTATCATCATACCAAATTTCATAAAAATCTCTCCAGTGGTTTTTCCGTGATGCGGTAACAGACAGACAGACAAAAATTCTAAAAACTATAGATTCGGCCTCTGTATTGATAATAATGTCTACTTCATTAAGATTTTCCAAAAAATATTTAATGTACAGATTCGACTCAGTTAGAATTTTATTATATGTATAGATGTACAAGTACTGTGATCAAAAACAGAATGGTTTAATTTCAACAGTTAATGCGTGTGATTAATACATGTGTCATCATTATACTCGTAGCTAGAGATAACCTATAAAAACACGGTCAGTCACTACTTTTGTTTTTTGTAAGGAATATGTTTATTATATTAATATTATAAATATAAATATTTGTGTCTATTTGGAACTCTCTAAATCTTTATAGCCATATACTTTAAAATTAATACGAAGAAGTCAGGGAGCAAGGGCTAAAAAGTTAACTATAAAGTATTAACCACACATACGTAGCTGACTAAGGCAGATGAGTCAGTGATTAAATCACTGTGCAAACAGGCAGTCTTACATCAATAGATAATTTAAATTAAACTCGTAAATAGTATCTTATATATAGCATTACAAGCATTACTGATAAGGTATTGAACTGTAGGATCTTGAACCTTTTACTTTCTGCAACAATTTCTTGTAAATAAATATCAACTATATAATATAATAATGCTAGTTGCATTGCCCGCGGCTTTGCCCGCGTTCAGATGACCAAAAACCAAATCCTTAGGTTTTATATATTAGTATACTCTTACATTGCAGTTTTTATATTTTTTTCTCAGAAATGAGGCATTTTATCGTGGCAAAAAGTATCCTATATATTGACCCGGATAACCAACTACCACCATACCAAATTTCATCAAAATACCTCCAGCGGCTTGTCCGTGATGCGGTAACAGACAGACAGACAGACGGACAAAAATTCTAAAAACTATAGATTCGGCCTCTGTCGGCCATCCGATAATAATGTCTATTTCAATAAGATTTTCCAAAAAATATTTTATGTAAAGATTCGGCTTAGTTACAATTTTATTATATATATATAGATTATGTATGTAACGAATATATGTACATACATTGTACAGTTTGTAATGCAGTGGTAGCCCAATGGTAACGCGCTCGCTTGTGAGACCTAGTGAAGCGTCCCGCCCTTGGCCAGCGTAGTGAACTAATGCCTGATGCCCCTCATATAGAAAGGTGGCCTGTGTCCATCAGTGGGATGTTAGAAAGGGCTAAATACCATATGTACAGTTTAGAGTTAAATACACTCGCAATAACTATGTAATATATAAACCTATGCTCAATCAATAAGCAAAAATCTTGTATTCTGTCTTCTCTTTTTTAAATTGTAATTTTTACCTTGTTAAGTATTCGAAGTAGGTTAAAGTGTGACCCAGAAAAATTGATCCTTCTACTAACCGAGCGATGAAATCATTCTTATTTTAACGTTAATAAATTTCATAACTATGAACACTTTGTTTATCTGCCCTGATAAAGTACGGAGCCCTTATCTTTAACTAATTGGCTTCACGGCTTGTGCAAACCCAACAGGTTGAATTATATTTATTTTAAGGTGAATTTTCATTTGCCTGTAACTTCGCACGTGACCATTTAAATTCAGCCTCATATACCTATAGAACTATATAATCTGTTATTTTTCTTATATTGACTCGCATAATACGTAAAGTTTAACTTATGACAAAACTTTTTAAAATGACGATTAATATATATTTTATCTCACTTTATTTTATTTATTTAATAATTAAAATTATTTTTGTAATTAGTAAATTCATTTTAGGTGAAATATATACATTATTTTTATGAAATAGAGACAAAAATTTGAAATATATTTATATCCAAACTATCCTTATGTATCCTTTCAACAGATATTCATTACACAAACACTTTAATACCCTGCATTATGACCATATTCTATAATTGATATGAGTACAATATTTTATAAGGTGTGGCTTTTATCAACCTAAAAAAATGATAATGTAGGCTAAATTATCGCTTTATACTTTAAAATTATTATTATAATTTTATAGTGTCCTAAAGTTCTATTTATCGATATTTTGACCGGGACGTAACAATGGTGGGCTTCGATTCGTGAGGACCTCATCTCGCTTATCCTAAATTTTTCTTTCTCTCCCCTTCTCTATTTGTACTAAAATATGAAGAAAATGCTCTTTAAAATGGAAGTCACTGTGAAATACTCCTCGTCAATAAAGCATTCAACACACTCGTATCCGCTGTATCAGTTTGAAACTCTGGGAAGGACATAGGATAGTTTTTATCCCTTAAGGGGGTGAAAAGGAGGGTGGAACGTTGCATGGGAAATCAATAATTTCTCAAGTAAGGGATAGTCTGTCTGTCTATTCTATACTTAGCGTCAAAACTTACCTAGGGACAAACCCGAACGAAGCGAGGGTGAGTCACTAATGGGTAAGTTTGACTGGTAGTGCCAGAGATCAATCTCAGTATAAATGATAACATTCGTATGTACTTCATTTCACCATCATTCAATTTTCCACCTTAACTTCAGAAACATCAGAACGATAACTTAGAAATTCCCATCTTGTAACTTACTTTATGATAAGGTCCATATCGACTTTTACTGATACCTACGTTGAATATGCAATAAAGACTTGTAAGCTTTCTTTCGATTTTCGTAAGGCCTTTTGGTGCAATTGACGAAAAAGAGACTATTTTTTCAGAGTAAAATAATATCCTAATCTAGTTCCATGGTAAATATAATTTTGTTCTGATCAAACCAGAAAAAGTATCTGTATATATACAATAAAACGTTTATCTCTCAGAAATAAAATCTGGGACCTGGTAATTAGTATGGTTGGTATTGGTATAAAATTCAAATGTTCAAAATAATATATCATACTACCTTTACATACTTTTACAACAGATTCATATTCCATGGGCAAAACAAGTTTATGCACCGGAATAAAATTAAAACTATCTACTAATAGAATGTACTAGGTACCGTATATCACTAACTGGCCCATAATGTATGAGCTGGAAAGTTCTAAAGGGTATTTTTTAGTACATCAGTAATATATATAATAATGACAATAATTACTATAATATATATAATATACTATACTTTTGCTCGCGGCTCTCCTACACAGTGTATATACGTATAAGGCGATATTAGGTGGGCAAGATAATCTTACACTCAAGTAACAATCAAGCGATCTCTTCGGTTTTGTTATGAAGATTATTATGAATTGGGCGTAGTTATGCAAGATATATCCAACACAAAAACTTACTTTTGAGAAAATAGGAGTCTTAGTAAAATTGATATTCGTATGTCAAAATAACAACCCGTAGTTTTTACCATGTTGTTTAGGTTACCATGATACATGGTTCTATTTTAACTCTATGAAAAAAAAAATTGTCGGTATCGTTAGCGTCTGTATACCTATTTCAAAAGAAAAAAGGCACTTTGCGGCTTATGATATGTAGGTGTCATTTATATCATTAACTGAAAAACGGTTTTCGTGTGCTGGAATCCATTTTGAATAACTACGTCCAATTGCGAAAAAGTTGTGGTAGTAGGTATTCGAGTAATATTGTAGTTAAAAAGGTGGGCAACATTTTAAATTTGTTATCTATGTAAGATATAGTGAAAGTTTAAAAACTCATATCGATTCATTAATTCCAATTCCCCATAATTTTGGAACAATTTCTAGTGTCAGACATCTTAATTGTCAATAAAAGTACTCAACCGTGTTTTGTTATTTTGATAAATCTATAGGTAGAAATAATATAATTCTGAGTCGAACCTGTACATTAAATATTTTTTGTAAAATATTACAGATTTTCCGAATCTATAGTATTTGAATTTTTTGTCTGTCTTCCTGTCTGTCTGGGAACGCATCACGAGGAAACCACTGGACATATTTTGATATTTGATGAAATTTGGTATGATAGCTGCGTATCCGGGTGAACATATAGGATACTTTTTACTGCAGGAAAATATCTCATCTCTGAGAAATCTATACTAAGCGTTAAAACGTAACTAGGGACAATATAGAGTTATATTTCATAAAATCGCCACTAAACAAAGAAGCTAGACTGACATCATCTATAATACAACGAATACCTGAATGTTCAAAAGGTAATGATAGCTTATCAACATTATCAGAGTGCGTCGATATTCCGTTAAGCTCTTTCGGGCCTCTACATACCCGGTGTTTACATTGTTATTGCAGTTTCATAAAAGAATTAAAATAGATATTACTCATATGCCATTATATTATATTGCAATTTAGTTTTGTTTAACTTTTAAGTTAAGGCATAACGTTACGTACAGATCGTATAGATATCATTTGTTAACTATATATTAAACTAGCATTGCCCGCGGCTTCGCCCGCGTTCAGATGACCAAAAACCAAATTCTTAGGTTTTATATATTAGTATACTCTTACATTGCAGTTTTTGTATTTTTTCTCAGAAATGAGACATTTTACCGCGGTAAAAATTATCCTATATATTGACTCGGATAACCAGCTACGACCATACCAAATTTCATCAAAATCCCTCCAGTGGTTTTTCTGTGACACGGTAACAGACAGACAGACAATAATTCTAAAAACTATAGTATAGGTTCAGCTTATGTATCTATAATAATGTTTATTTCAATAAGATTTTCCAAAAAATATTTAATGTACAGATTCGGTTTAGTTACAATTTTATTATATATCTCTAATATTCGGCCTTCTTAATTAGGTTTTTAGGTAAGGGTTTTCTTTCGTATGTAATAATTTTGCACAATTTTCTGATATTATGTACTACATTCCTTATAATAAAATTAAGACCCGAATAATTTGAATACGTTACATTACTTTCAGCAATTATAAATGTATTATTTTTTATATACAAACTATGATACAGCTTATGATTAACCATATCTCATAGTTGCGTCTATTGGTCTGGGACTGTATAAACTCTATATTAAAATATAATGGGTCTGATTCTACACTTTACTAAATCGTATGAAATAAAAATTGAAATAAAAATTGTATGAAATTTTGGGTTCAAATCCGGATTTATCCTAAAATAAATATTTGGTCTCTGTCAATATGATGGTCCTTCTTCTGAACTCTTCTATAACTGAATTACAAGCAAGTACAACTGTTTTTGCATACACTTTTACTGCAGAATACTTCTCTATTAAAAAAAATCATGTTCGAGCATTAAAAGGAATAAGTTAAATTAACTCTTGACTGAAACCAAATAAAAGAAACTAAAGAAGATTTCTAACTAAAACAAACAATAATATTCTATTCTTCTAATCAGCTCACATCGATGGCAGAGTGCTACCTTCGACTACATATCGAAATAATGGACAGTCTTACGTTATCACGAACCAAAGACTGCAACAGATTAGATCGAACTTCATGTACTGGTTCTATGACCAAGGCGGTAATGAGAATATTGGAGATTACCAAAGAGACATTCACACATCAACCCCTCAAGTACACAAAAACTTCAACTTTCAACTACCGTTCTTCGGATTTCGCTTCAATTATACAAGAGTAAGGTTTTATTTTCATATTTTTGTAGTAAATATATCTATACACAGATTAAGTTTAGGTAAATGTACCTATGTCTGTGTATATTTCATACAGTCCAATTAGTCAGTTCAAAAAAAAATCAGTTTTTTCCATAAAATGACGATTACCTATATTATTATTTTTTTTATATTTTCAGTTATCCATGAATGGGTACATCTACTTCAGTGATCCACCAGATCATTATACCTACCCCCTGTCTTTCCCCGTGCGAGACTGGCCTACCGTCAACGATCCGTCCTTCATTGGTATATTTTTCAGCAAATGTCGTATTGGAAGTCAAAGGCCTGAAGACCCCGATCAGAGACGGCCCGGTGTTTACTTTAGAATGGACAGGGACTTACAGGTAAATTCCTACATTTTGTGTTACAAAAACTAGTACTAGTTTAATAATTAAGTATTATAATATTATTGATTACCTGTTTCCTAAGTTGTCATGCTACGAATGAACTACAATCATGCACAACATACTTCGAGTATTGAATGTTGATTTTTTAATGTACCTATTACCATTTTTCTTTAAGACTCGTACGGACCAACTTGGTGTAGAAATGAGAGAGCGTGTAACCTGGGACATTCGAGAGGGAGTAATTGGTTCAGAAACTTTCTTCCCGAAACATGCTGTTACTATTACATGGAAGAATATGTCATTCGCTGGTGGTATTGATAACTCCTTGTTTATGGTATGTTAACTAATTGATTCTAAACTATGTAATAATTGAACTTCTATAAAATGGAAGTTAAAGATAATAATTTTTATTCACTAAAAATTAAATAATATCATTCATTCATTGACTAAGCTAAAACTTATAAAGTATCAAAGTGATGGCAGATTTATATCTTTACGAAAAAAATGCTAACTAAAATATTTATGACAGTGAGAAACCAAAATAAGATAATAAACAAATTTAATTTTCCTCAGACCAACACATTCCAAATGGTACTGGCAACAGATGAAGTATTTACGTACGCGATTTTCAACTACCTAGAAATCAACTGGAGCTCACACACTGAAGCTGGAGGTGATACAACAACCGGAGAAGGTGGTGTACCAGCTTATGTAAGTTTTCAAACACATGTCTTAAATGGATCGAATACCTATCTGATAACGGTTTTTTAATCTAATTAATTTATAATTATTTCAATCGTAAATTATTTACTATGATAGTTACGTTTATTTAATTTAGATTGGATTTAATGCTGGTAATGGCACACAAAGCTACGAATACAAACCTTACTCTCAAGCATCTGTGCTCAGAGATCTTACTGGAAGAGGCTGGGCTAATGGCTTCCCCGGACGACATATATTCAGGATTGATGAGAAAATCCTCATGGGCACATGCAATAAAGATATTGGTAAGAAAAAAGATTTTTATCTATCGTCAAAATCGATAATTAAACCATTTTTTGATAATACATATGTATGTATGAAAAAATATCAAGTATTTATTGAAATATCTTCATTTCAGACGGAGCTAATTTACCATTGATGTTTGCGCCAGAAAGTGGCAACATGCTTGGTGGTACCGTCGTTAATATCACAGGTCCTTGCTTCCAACCGAATGATCGAATTTCATGCAGATTTGACACGGAGTCCGTCATCGGTGCAGTAGTAGATTCCAACAGAGCTATTTGTGTTCAGCCCCGTTTCTGGCACAACGGTTACGCGAGATTTGAAATTGCCATCAATAATGAGCCTTACAAGTGGAAAGGAAAATACTTTGTTGGTAAGATTTATGAAGATCAAAAATATAACTTATTTAGGTGCAGACTTTATTAATTTAGTTTTTTTTAAATACTTAAAATTGTAATTGCAACTTACTTGCATATTTCAGAAACACCTGGAACTGCTACAGAGAAGATCTTCTTCCCTGATAACTCAATTCATGAAAGATATCCGCCTGAGATTAGAATAACGTGGGATCGTTTTAACTTGACCACTAATTTAAACGTCCAACTGCAAATTAGTTTATGGGGCTACAAAGAAGTGACAATCAGACCTCAATTAGAATTTATTGATATGATTGAAACAGGCGTTTCCAATACCGGAGAATATGTGATAAATCCACAAAATTTCCGCAACCGAGATAACATAATGCACAACGATATGCAATTTGGATTCCTACAAATCAACTTAACTACTCCAGAAGTGTTTAAGAATGTGCCGATTTCACCGTAAGTAAATGTTAAGATCCTATAAAATATGAAAATACTTGATTTGTTTTGAAAGTAAATTATATTGCAAAATTTAAGTTCAAACTAATTTAATTCCTTTATATTACTAGTTCTTTATATATAGTTGTACCTTTTTTTATATTTAATGCATATACCTATTTTTCTAGTGTTTTATGGAGTCGTCCCATACCTCTCGGTTGGTACTTCGCACCACAGTGGGAGAGGTTGCACGGTCAGCGCTGGTCTCAATCCATGTGTAACAATTGGCTACGTAATGATCGTTTCTTGAAGAACTTCGCTGCCCAAGTGTGGGTGTGCCCTTGTACCTTAGAACATGCGCTGTTGGATAAAGGACGCTTCATGCCCGATTTGTCCTGTGACAAAGATATTAACCCCACTTGTAGATATCACTGGGGCGCTATACATTGTGTTAGGAGTGGTGCTCCAAGGTAATTATTTCCAAATGTCCAAATATATACTACATAGCATTCATTCAACACAGATACTCTAACAGATATATATATATATATATATATATATATATACTTATACTATAGAGTTCCAATAATATTTATGAGGTTAGAATAGCCGATGATGTTCGTAGTATATGGATAACACGCAATGCAATATATTTTTTTATATATATATATATATATATATATATATATTTATTGTTAGTTCATTAAATTACTTTAACAAAGTTTTATAATAACGCTAATTTTTTCTTTAGTTCGGAAGGATCGGGTCAACAGTGTTGCTACGACAAGAATGGCTTCCTCATGTTGTCTTATGACCAAATGTGGGGTTCCAGACCTCACCGCTCACACGATTTCGGCTTCACACCCTACAATGAAGCTAATAAGGTAAATAAGACAGTAGCTTGATAAACACTTATCACTTTGACCATAGATTAAAAAAAAAACAAGAAAATGAAATAATAAAAATCTGGATCACGAAACGAATTCTAAGCAGTTAATTTTATTTCATAGAGTCGATAGGAGCTATTATACATATGTTACAGTTTTCGCGATCCATGATGTCCTTCTTGTATTTTTAAATAATTTTCTTTTATCTTTAATTTTAACTATATGTTTAAATAATTTCCATTATTAATTTATAACTAAATATTATGTAATTTTAAAGGTGCCATCTCTATCCCATTGGTTCCACGATATGATTCCTTTCTATCAATGCTGCATGTGGCAAGAGGAGCAGGCAGTAGGGTGCGAAACATTCAGGTACCTAATATATAAAACTTATACCATAAATATACGACTGTTTTATTATTTATCAAAAATATATAATTTCAAGCTCTTTATTAATTTGTGCTTGGCTCACTCCATAGTATTTTTTTTTTTATCTTTTTAAAAATGAGTTTTAAAGTAATAATAATATACTGCTTAGATTCGAACGTCGTCCTTCTCAAGACTGTGTGGCGTATCAATCGCCGGGAGTCGCCGGTATATTCGGAGATCCTCATTTCGTCACCTTCGACGGTTTGCAATACACATTTAACGGCAAAGGTTAGTAAAACTCTATCTGTATGTATGTTACTTTATCACTTAAATTTAGCAACAGCATACATTGTATAAATTAAGAAAGAAGATAATAATAAGCTATCTTTTATTCTCGCTCGGTTACCACGCGAGCGAAATCAACGGAAGAGTCGGGAGCGGTCGGTACCTATGATATACGATAGTAGACGTATGTATGTATGTATGTATAATGCAAGACGATTCTACTGATACAGGAGTATTGCACCTAAAATATTGATATTGAAAGATTATTTAAACTTATTACAAACGGTTAGTATGGATTAGATAGACTATATTATATACATAGGAAAAATCGGTCAGTAATTTAAGAAAACTTGAAATCATCCCCTATATTTTACCTTGATTGATCATAATCGCTGAAATATTATTTATTTCTTACCAAAATTATAGAATATAATGTATTTTTGTCGTTAATTCGAAACATGATTTGTTCCCAAAACAAACTTTTAACCGCTATTTAACCCCTTTCAAGTTTCATTTTTGTGACAAAAAGTATTCTTCTCCAAGGTCCCATCCCTCTCTATACCACACTTCATCAAAATTGGTTCAACGGTTTAAGCGTGAATACGTAACAGACACACATACAGAGTTACTTTAGCATTTATAATATTAGTATGGATATAAGCTCTCAATAATAAACTATAGCTCTATTTTTTATTCTTTAATTACTTTTATTTTCAGGTGAATATGTACTCGTAAGAGTCGATCGTCCCCAAATCAAACTAGACGTACAAGGTCGCTTCGAACAAACACCCAGAAATATTTATGGACAAGTTAATGCTACAATTCTGACCTCTATTGTGGCTGCTTCAAACAACTCTGTGCCTATCGAGGTAGTAATTTTAATATACCTACATAGGTATTTGTTAAAATAACGCACTGATATTGATGTAAATTCTTGTTCTTTTTCTTGCAACTTTCTTCTCACTGATATCCAAAAGTAACTTTTAGATTTTAACCAATAACGTAAAAATGTGAAACAATTTATTTTAGGTGAGACTGAGACCTCAACATGCTCAATGGAGATATCGCCTGGACGTATTCGCTGATAACAAGAGGGTTTACTTCGACAGAACAGCTTTAAGAGTGCAGTATTTCCCAGGTACAATAATGAAAATTTATTAAAATAACATAATTACTTTCTATAGGTAGATAAATCTTTTATTTACCAACTAAAGTAGAAGAAGAGTGGATTTAACATGTAAATAGATATTACTATAAATTAGAAAACATCATTTTTTGAAGTTATACTTCTTTTGACACGTTTGGAAAAAAATATGAGAGTAAAATTTTTACAATGCGCGCGCACACAGACAACCAAAAAGCGACATGATGAAGTTAGCTGCATTCCATTTCCAAACAGAGAGTTGTGACATACGGGATAGAAGCTTTAGCTATTTTTAGCGAAGAAGTATAACTTCTTACGTGCGTATATAAGTAAACACACACGTTTTTTTTTATTATATACCTAAATAACTAAAGACTATACAAATATTTTTAATATTTGCATTTTTTTTTACTAGGTGTGACAGTTTACCAACCCATGTATATCTTGAACCAATCTGAGATCGTTATTATGTTCTCGTCTGGCGCTGGAGTTGAAGTGATTGAAAACAAAGGCTTCATGAGTGCAAGAGTCTACCTACCTTGGACTTATATGGTAATATTATTAACAATGGCCTTATTTTTTAGATTAATATTATACTTAGAAACAGTATTAAAATAATAATATTATTTTATTTTATTTCAGAACCAAACTCGTGGTCTTTTTGGTAACTGGTCGCTGGATATAAACGACGACTTCACTCGCCCCGACGGCATTATAGCTCCCGTTGATATGAATAACTTCCAAACAGCGCACAGGGACTTTGCACAACATTGTAAGTATTGGACAACATGTATTGTAATAAGTTGGTTTTCAGTAATTCTTAAGATATGAAAAGTTGAGAGGGTTCATATGTACCAAACGTACAAACATCACCTAGTTAGAAAGAAAAGACAAAGAAAGCAGAAAACAAATTAAAGAGCCTATTGATTTGTACGTTACTGATAGGGCATGAAAAATTATACTTATATAAAAAATATAATCTAAAATTTATTTAATTTGTTTATTAATAGGGCAACTTACCGATCGAGAACAAAAGGATATAGGTGTGGCGTTATTCGTAAGAGAATATGGACGAACAGCCGCATATTACAACGACAATGAATTCATTCCGAACTTTATACGAGAACCGGCGGACTTCTTACCTACGAACAGATCTCAAGACGTTAGAAGAGCGACGGAAATATGTCAGGACTCATATCAATGTCGATACGACTTTGGTATGACGCTAAATAGAGATATGGCTGAATTTACTAAGAACTATCTCGCTTCTATTGTGAGTATAATTTTTATTTATCCAAGACACGGATCCTCTATTTAGGCTTTTTAGACTTTAAAATTAAGTTTGACGTGGTAAAAAGACAGAAATGGAACTCTCTTTTATGGTGTCCGTCTGTCCATGTATCACATTTTATTTAGATTCTATTGGTACTGTATAGATCATTTTTTGTAAGAACTATTGACAAAAAATCGACTTAATAGATTAAATTAAAAAGAAATTCTATCAATATTTCCTTCATCATTAATAAGTTTAATAATATCTGCTTTAATAATTAGTGTAAAATCTACTGCATTATGCGAAATCGAACCTTATTTAATAAGCACTAGCTATTATATGTGATTCATTTGATTTCAATATAATCTCGTAAGAATCTTGAATCTTACTCATACTTCAAATTGCCATTTTGTTATTATGTGTAAATGGCTACTAAACGTGGGAGAATAACTATTAACACGTATATTGAAGAAAAGGCATTTTAAAATTATAGTATGTAATCATGATAGTATGAGTCAACTGTTAGAGATTGATGTTATATAGGTAGATGTTGCATTTATACTTTATTTCTTAATTATTTTTAAAAATTATAATTAAGATTAAAAATCACTTCTTATTATACACTAGCGACTCACTCTCGCTCCGCTCAGGTTCGTCCCTACTTACGTTTTAAAGCTTAGTATATATTTCTCAGAGATGAGATATTTTCCCGCAGTAAAAAGTATCCTATATGTTGACGAGGATAATCAGCTATCATCATACCAACTTTCATCAAAATCCCTCCTTTGGTTTTTCCGTGATGCGGTCACAGACAGACAGACGAAAATTCTAAAAACTATAGATTCCGCCTCTGTATCCATAATAATGTCTATTTCAATAAGATTTAACAAAAAATATTTAATGTACAGATTCGGCTTAGTTACAATTTTATTATATGTATAGACTATGTCTATCTAATATTCTCCGACTACATTATACAGTGTTTCTTCATCAACTTGTTCTCATTTTTTTAGTTCGGTTTTTACTAAGGCGGTTTTTTTTTATTTTTGTATCTTTTTTATTTACAGCTTTTTAGTTTTGGATACTTAGACATTTTTAAATATATAAGTAATGTATATTTTATAATCGTCTCTTAAAACCTGTATTTTGATACCCCACTCGATTGATTCGATCGAAAAAATATTTTTCAAGACACACAAATTGGCGTCTAGGATGCGCCATTTTTATTTTAAATGATATCTATATACCCTATACCTATGTATAGTTATATACTTGCGTTACGACGTATGAATCGTCAAAATCGGTTAAACTGTAAACTGTCCGGATTTTTACTAAAGTAAATACGAGGAAACATAGGATCGGACATACATTCATACATACATACATACATGCTATGTATGTATGTATGTATGAATACATACAGGCCAAACACATAACCCTCCTTTGGGCTTCGCCGCAGTCGGGTAAAAAGGCACTTAGGATGCACCGACGACGAAGCGGAGATATTCTCGATAAGTTGCTAGTATTTTTTATAATTTTAAAGAGTCTAGAAAGTTTAGGGGCTATGCGGCATTATTAAACGCTTTTAAAAACCTAACAAGCTTAAAACATTTTATTAATAAATTATAAGGCTTATGTTAAACAGTTGCGTGTCCCCATTCATACTTATGATGTCCATTGTTCTTTAATTATAGTATACTAACCAAGGTCTTTTACTATAATGAGGAATGCCCATAGAAAATCTTCAGTTGCGATACAACTATCATGGAATTCTTACTTTTACACTATCAGTAATATTAAAACTGTAACCATACATATAAAATAATCAAGATTTAAAAGTGTATTTTTTGGTCTAGACTAATATAAAGGAGCAAAATGCCCGTCGAGTGATCAGTTGCGGAATTCTGGAAACTCCACGTTTCGGGAGAAAGAGTAACTTCTTCTTCACTCCTGGTACTAGAGTAAGTATTACCATTTCTTTTTATTTATATATTGATTCATTGAGGTACTTAGGGAATATTTATTTATTTATTTTATTATGCCTAATTGATTTAACTATTACCGTCGTGGGTTTGATTCTCGCCCAGGAAATGAACTTATAACCTTAATTAATTGAATACATATATGTGAACAGTTATTCGTTCCTTCCCGATTATCACAAAATAAGTTTAGGTGCCTAGGTTGTGTTCAAATGAAGACCGGTATAGAAAAATGAAGTGAGATCTCAGTTATTTCTATTTTTGTTTACTAAATAACTTTATTTTCCTTTGTTAAGGTTAATTTCGAATGTAATCAAGACTTCATCTTAACCGGAGATAAACGTCGTATTTGTGAAGACAACGGTAGATGGAATCTTCCTGACTACGGTTACACAGAGTGCTTACGTAAGTTTCATTTTTATTTTATATTTGACTATATTTGTATATTACTTTAGACAATAATTCAGATAAAAATTAAAGATTATTCTTATGCTTATAAAAAAAACTAAATTATGTGATATTTAGATTTATATTTGTATGAACAGGTAACCAGGAGTTTTCTCAACGCGCACTATTTTTAACCTGGGGCATTATAGTGGCAATTATTCTACCATTAGCACTCCTTATTTGCCTGATTTGGTTCTGGTGTTGCTACAAACCGAAATCTGAGGGCAAAGAAGGATTCAACTTCGAAGACATTCCGCGATCAAAATCTGCTTCGCGTCTTAATCTTAGATCTGCTTCAATGGGTAACCTCACAGATACTATGAAATCTTCTACTTTACGTACTCAGAATTCGGATATAAAACCTAAATTGCCAGACACGCCCACTGAAGAAGCTCCCCTTCAAGTTGCACCTCTCACTAGGTCTGCACCACCTCCACCCACTGAACCCCAAGACGGTGAAAGTTCTGGAATTGGCTATACAGATTCCAACAAAAGCGATAAGTCTGATAAGTCAAAAAAACGTCGCGCTTATGATAAAACTTATCGAACTAACGAACCGCTACCCAATGCCCCTGAAGTTGAATTCCCAGAAAAACCTTGGGATTTGTCTGAAGAAGATTTACTCTCTCTAACAACCCCATCAGAAACTGAATCCAATCGCGATTCAACGCTGACTCGACCAACGCAAGACATTAAGTTTATCAGTCAGCCGCGTCAAACCGGCCGCCATGCTTTACCTATTGATTCTGGTTATTCTACTAAGGATGGATCCGAAGATCCTTATTCCCCCAAATTTGAGGGACAATATAGTCCCATTCCATCTCAGTACTCCCCCACTTATTCTGAGATTTATTCCCCACCTTTAAGTCCAACTTCGGATAATAGCCCAAGAAATACGTATAACAACCCCGGTTTACCTGATCCTCCTAAGAGTGCTCCGCCTACTGAAATAAAAACATTTACAATTCCCCCACAAAGAGGCAAGTCCGTTGAAACACTCATAGATCCTCCTGCGACTGAAGTACCAACATTTAGTAGTCGTTCTACAATGGTTTAATTATTTGACAATTAGATACTAGTTAGTACCTCTAACAGTAAATTGACACATCCCACTGAAATAAATAACTTAAGCAAGCACTGCCCTAAAAATGACAATTTTAAGAGAACAGCGGCGGTTAGTTAGGTTTAATATTTGCATATTTTTAATTAGTAAATAATTTTATAATAGTTAAATACGTTACAATATGAACCACAGAGTAGTCTGTTCGGATTTATTATTTTACCCTTTTACAAGATTTTATAGTACTTTTAAGAATGTGATTTTACCCATTGTTGTTGTCTTATTTTTATTTTTCGTCTCGTACTATTTCTTATGTACAAATTGTAATAAAACATATCTATTAATGAAATAAACATTATAAATATCGGAATAATATCACAAAAAGAGGAAATTTCTGTTCCGAATACCTAATGGTAGAATGATATCCACTATTTTTTTAAGTTATTCATTTTGGAAATAGGAAAGCAAGGAAAAAAGCTACCACAGTCTAGTGGAATAGAAATTTTCTCGGTCATGTGATGTATTATTTTAACCCAAATCGCTTTTATTACTTGCTTTCTTATCAATATGTACTATGTACATACAAAATTGGGTCACTCGATCATATAACAGGTTGGTAACATTTTTATTTGTTCTCCTTAGATAGTGTTAGATGCTGATAACTCTTATCAATATTAAACAACATTTCCAAAAGTTTAAAATGACATTACTAAATAATTATATAAATATGAGAAAATTGTAACATTTGTTTTTAAAATAGATATATTGAGTATTGCATAAACAAACTTACAAAGACAATTTGAATATTAACTACATTAACACAAAAGAGTACGATAGTCATTTATTTATATGCAGTCAGTTTTTTTAATTTCCAATATGAATGCTTGCTTTTTTATCTATTCGTTTATTTTCATATTTCATTCTCTGTGCAGGCAACCAAGAGTATTCTTCACGTACTTTGGGTGCAACATGGGGTATCATCAGCGCTGTAATGGTGCCTATCGTGATATTGTTCATTTGCTTGGGTTGGCGCATCCTGAAGAAGAGAAAAGAAGAAGAAAGGGAAGAAAGCGATTTCTTGCCTATCAAGTAAGAATAATTAATAAACGTCAATTGTTGCACATAATAACTAATTTACATTAATCGTTATTATCATAAGTAATATGGTGACTTTTACATATTATATTTTGACATATTATACAATATATATTTTTTTGTTTCAAAATACAAATGCAATAGGTATTATGTTTTTTTTTTACCTTAGCGTAGTTTTGTTCGAAGGATGAAAAATACAGATAACAGAGTAAATAATAAAGGCAGTTTCCGCTTTTGTTGCTAGCATGTTTGCTTTAACCAGAATAGTAAAACAACTATATTAGTTTATGTACAATGAACAAAGTACAAACATTCTCTCTAAGCAGGAATCAAACTTACAATTTTTGGGTTTAATTCTTTGGCTTTACTCAACGTCACTGACAACGCTACCTTTAAAGAGATATTTCTTAGGAACTGTACATCTATGGTTTTATATATCAATGCATAAATATTACTTTTGCAAAGATATTTAAAAAAAACATACAGATTTTAATACACTCTTATTCGTATTTTAACTCAAATCTTTATTTTAATTTCCTTAGGTCTCGCTCAATCGACCCAGATGAATCAGTTAAAATGGCATCTGATGATGACTCTATACCGTACAAAAAAGATACATCTGAAGATAGCCCAGAACCTATTGCTAATGAAACCAATAGTTATCCATACCAGTTTCAAGACCAACCAACCAGTGAACCACCAGCGCAGTACCAACAACCTCAACCGTTTCAGCAACCGCAGCAGCCACAGTCAAGCAGACAGTGGGCGGGAGAAACGGAGATTAATTAATAATTTTGTTAATTTTTAAGCTATAGGTTATAGGGATTATATACAGCTTTTTATATTTTTATTTTAGTAAGGTTTTTTAGAAATACGATCAATAAACTAAATACTACATAGTATTTTATATTATTAAGTGTTTTCTGTATGTATTATATTTTGTATTCTTATATTTAATATCCCACCTTCAAACTATTGTCTAGGTTTAGTAAATTTGTTTTTTTTTTATTTAATTCAATAGTCATGACAACAGTCTTGCTCTGCTCGTTAACTTTAATTAATATGAAATTTTTATATGTCGTGAATTTTATTGTTCCGTCGCTTTGTTTTAATTTTATTATGTGTGCTAAAATAAATAACAAAATAAATATTATATAAATGGATGTTTAATTTAAAAAATCTCTTAGATATAAAAAATCGATTAAGTCAAAAATAAGAAGTAGGTCGTAAGTATACAATTGAACATTTGTCCCTACTGACTATAAATAAGAAAGTTCGTTATTCGTACTATATAATAGGGATCCGTATTCCCTACCCGTATTACCTAAGTATATGTAAAATTTTTAAGGTTATGAAAGAATCTAAAAGTTTTTTACGGTTTTTAAAGAACATGTACTTCATTATTTTCTATTTAAAATGTAATTAAAATATTTCCCTTAAAACTTTTTAATTACATGAGTAGGTAAGTGTTATTAAATGAATAGATACCTACTCAATTATTTAAAAAAAATACTAGCGGCTCGCCCTCGCTTCGCTCGGCTTTGCCTCTGGAAAAACAAAAAATAAATGTATCCCTCGGGAACCGTATATTTTTCCGGAAATAAAAGTAGCCTTTGTGTTATTTCATACTATAATCTATCTCTGTGCCAAATTTCATCCGATCCGTTCAGCTGTTCTGGCGTTAAAGAGTAACAAACATCCATACATACTCACAAACTTTCACATTTATAATATTTATATAAAATATAACGTAATGTTAAATATGCTGTAGGTACCCATTATGTAAGGCAACACTTATTTTGATTTGTACTTTGGTGAGCTTCATTTAAATAAAAATTCATTGTGTAAAATCTGCATTATTATTCCAAAAAGTCCTAATAGGTTATGGGCCCAGTCTGTAACCGTATTTAGGTGAAGATATTCTTGGAATTGTACGGCAGGAGCTTGGTCGGGTGTCGACAAGCAAGAAGGAACGTGGTGGCGGCCGGAAATATTGGCGTCGCTCGTTTGTTTTGTCACTGTGAGACAAAAATAACACAATGGAAAAGCTCGGCGTAGTGCAGCTGGAAGGAGCGAGGAATTGGAGTGTCTGGCGATTCCAGATGACCGTGATTTTGCGGGATGAAGGATTGTACAAAATTGTCTCGAGTCCTAATGTCAAACATGGCGGTGCGGCGGAAACTACAAAGACCGGTCAGGCGTCGGCGGAGCCCGAGCAGGCGTCGGTAGAGAAGGATATAAAGGCGATGAGTGCAATTGTGACAAGATTGGCGGAACCAGTTCTACATCACGTAATTACTTGTCAAACAGCGCACGAAGTGTGGAGTCGGCTACACAGTATTTATGAAAAAAGTGGAGAAACTTCACTGATGCTACAACAACAACGATTCTTTGCCCTAAAATTTGAAGATGACATGAGTGTCGCGGACTTCATCTCCAAAGTGCAGGAGCAGCAGCAGACCTTGAAACGACTGGGAGAAGCGGTAACCGACAGGATGGCTATGTCGAAGATCATCATGTCACTTCCACTGAAGTATGCTCACTTTGTTAGTGCTTGGGAATCGTGTGCAGAAGAAAAACAGACTATGGACAACTTAACGGCACGGCTCTTGGTAGAAGAAGAACGGCTTAATAATAAGTGTAGTAGTAAGGCAGAAGAAAGTGTAGCATTGTTTTCTATAGGACAAAAAGGTACAAATAAAGGTAATTTTAAATGTTTTTTATGTCACAAGCCAGGTCATTTAAAGAAAGATTGCAAGCTTAAAAATGTTTGTTTTAAATGTAACAAGCCAGGTCATTTTAAGGATAAATGTAAAGCTAGTAAAAATGATAAGAAAGATAAAGAAAATAGTGACAAAGGTAATAAGAAAACTGAAAGTGCTTTTGTATCTACAGTGCTAGTTAGTGCAAGTGATCGATCAATAGATGAAAAATGGTTAGTAGACAGCGGTGCTAGTCACCATATGACATATCAGAAGAAATTATTTTGTGAATATGAAAAATTATCTACTCCTAAAGTTGTTATTATAGGCGATGGACGAAAGCTAAATGCTTTAGGTATAGGAAAAGTAAATATAATGGCATTTGATGGTGAAGAATATGTCTGTTGCTCAATAAACAATGTTTTGCATGTTCCTAAATTAAAAATTAATCTATTTTCTGTAGGTAGTGTGGTATGCAATGGTTTTCATGTTAGTATGACAAATGACAAGTGTGTATTTTCAAAGAATAATAGAGTGTGTGCTATTGCTAATAAGGAATCATGTTCTAAGCTGTATGTAATGGATTTTAAGTCAGAGTCTTTGCAGGCTAATGTAGCTAAAGTTGAGTTAAGTGAGTGGCATGAGAGGTTAGTACATCAGAATTATAAGGAAATTAAACGCATTTTAAAGAAAAATAATATTGATTATAGTGAATCACCAATAGACACATGTACAGCTTGTGTAAAAGGTAAACAGCATAGATTACCATTTGATAGCAGTAGAAGTACAACAAGTAAGACAGGCGAGTTGGTGCATGCTGATTTGTGTGGACCGATGGAAGAAAAGTCAATAGGAGGGTCAAGGTATTTTCTTTTATTAAAGGATGATTTCTCAAACTATAGGACAATTTATTTCTTAACTTACAAGTCGGAAACTGTTGAAAAGATTAAAGAATTTATTATGAAGGCAAAAACATTAAATAATACAGTTTGTACACTTCGCACTGATAATGGGACTGAATTTGTGAATGCAGAAATGAAAACTTTATTAGCAGAGCATGGAGTGACACATGAGACTACAGTAACTTATTGTCCAGAGCAAAATGGAAAAGCTGAAAGAGATATGAGGACTTTAGTTGAAGGAGCAAGAACTTTGTTGCATACAAAAAGAATGGACAAAGTATTCTGGGCTGAAGCTATTAACACAGTTGTGTACACTCTGAATAGAACTTACCATAGCAAAGAAGAAGGAAAAACACCTTATGAGTCATGGTCAGGGAAGAAGTTTGATGTAAATGGTCTATATATATTTGGCAGTGAAGTCTTTGTGTACATACCGAAAGAAAAAAGAAGGAAATTCGATGCAAAAGGAGAAAAAGGTATTTTTGTAGGTTACGGAGAATACACTAAAGGGTTTAGGATCTATTTTCCAGAGAAAAATGCAGTGGAAATAGTGAGAGATGTTACGTTTGTGAAGAAACATAATAAACCTGAAAGAGAAGAGCAGGAAGAAAAGTGTATATATTTAGATATAGAAGAAAACCTGAACAATGAAGAATACCAGTCTGAGTCGGATACTGAAGGAAGTGTAGAATTCGAGGATTGTCAGGTCAATGACAATATGATGCAAGAAGTGGAATTTCTAGAAGAGGAAATTTTAGAGCATGAAGAAATTCAAGAAGTAAATGAAAGTATGCCAGTAAATTCAGAAAATACTAGAAGAACACGCTCTAGAAAAGCACCTAACTGGTTTCATGACTATGAAGTTGGTTTTATAAGCGTGCATAATGAACCTAGTACTTTAAAAGAAGCCATGGAATGCGAAGACAAAGAAAATTGGATAGAAGCTATGAACAGAGAAATAACTACATTGAAAGAAAACAATACATGGACTGAAGTAGCGATGCTACCCAAGGGAATAAAGGCAATAAACAGTAAATGGGTGTTCAGAATAAAAGAAAATCCTAGCCAAGAAATTGAATACAAGGCCCGATTAGTTGCTAGGGGATTTGAGCAGACTGATATGGATGGTGCAGAAGTTTATGCCCCCGTTGCGAGTTTGACTACTTTCCGTACAATGTTAGCTGTGGCAGCCAGAAAGAAACTTCCAGTATACCAAATGGATGTAACAGGAGCCTTTCTTTATGGTGACATTGATGAACCTGTATACATGAAACTACCTAATGGAGGAATAGGTAAATTAAATAAGTCAATATATGGATTGAAGAAAAGTCCCAAGTACTGGAATAGAAAGTTTAATGATTTTATGTGTAGTGATGGTTTCATAAAATCCAAGAACGACCCATGTTTATATTTTAAATGTTGTAAGGAGTATTCCATTTATGTGCTAATTTTTGTCGATGGTTTGCTATATTTTAGTGATAGTGACACACAGATCAGAAAGTTTAAGGAGAAGTTGTTTAAGAACTTTGCTATGAAAGATTTAGGTATGGCTTGTAATTATTTAGGAATTAGCATTGAACAGGATATAGAAAATGGAAAGACTGTTATAAATCAGAAGGAGTATTTGTTAAAAGTATTAAGAAAGTATGGGATGTCTGATTGTAAAGCTTGTAACATACCCATTGATCAGAATTTTAAGTTTGAATTGTTAAGAAGGGAAAATTCAGAAAGTAAAGAAATCGAATTTAAATGTAGGCAGATAATTGGAAATTTACTGTATGCTTCTAATGCTACAAGGCCTGATTTGTGTGTAGCGATTGGTTTCTTAAGTAGATATCAGCACTGTGCCAGTATGTTGCTATTGAAATGTTTACAGCGTGTTTTGAGATATGTGAAAGGTACAGTAGATTTGTCATTGATGTATGATTGTAATGGTAATGATAAATTGGAGGGTTATGTTGATGCTGATTGGGGTGGAGATATAACAGATAGGAAATCTACTTCAGGATATATATTTAAAGTATTTGATTGTGTAATATCTTGGTGTACTAAAAAGCAATTATGTGTATCTTTATCATCAACCGAGGCAGAATATGTAGCACTATGTTTAGGTATTGTTGAGTCATGTTGGTTAAAAAGCTTGTTATTAGATTTTGGATTTAAATTAAAAGTAAATATTTATGAGGATAATCAGAGTGTAATAAAAATAGCAGAAAACAACTTCAGTAATAAGAGGCTTAAGCATATTGATGTTAAATATCATTTTATCATAGAAAAAATAAATGATGGTTGTGTAAGTCTATCCTATGTTAGTAGTAGTGATAATCTTGGTGATGTGTTTACTAAGACTTTAGGAAGACAATTGTATGTAAAACTTAGAAGTAAGATTTTAAAATAAGTTTTCCATCTAGAGGTGATTTTATTTTGTGTTGTGTCAGAATTGTTTTGTTTTTAATACTAAATTTGTTAAGTGGATGTTTGTATTTTATTTTGTAAAGGCCAGTGTGTCATTGTGTTATTAAGGGGTAGTTTTTCTTCTTAATGTTGTTAAGGGCTAGACATGTAGTGATATATTAGTTTATGTAAGTTTTTAATCAAAAGTTAAGTGTTGAGGGGGTGTGTTAAATATGCTGTAGGTACCCATTATGTAAGGCAACACTTATTTTGATTTGTAACACTGGCAACTCTGTTCTTGACAATCTGTAATGGTGGACGCCGTGTATTTGTACTTTGGTGAGCTTCATTTAAATAAAAATTCATTGTGTAAAATCTGCATTATTATTCCAAAAAGTCCTAATACGTAATAGTTAAAAAAATGCAAATTATTTAGAAATATATATTTATCAATAATTTATAGACTTTATAAGGCGTGTTTTTAATCGGGACTACCGGGTTGACCTCGAATGATACTCTAAATATATAGTTAGATATTGCGCGCTCTTTGGCCTCTATTTCGAAAACGGTTCAAGATATAAAACAAAATGTAAACAAAAGTAGTAGGGAATTTAATCCTCTACAATATTTATAATAAATACAAATAACATCAAAGTTTTAGGGTGTCAAATTAAAAGTTTATACAAGTTTATAGCTGACTATTTCCAATACCGAGATGCCTTATTTAGACTAATATGACTGGACTATTATTAATTTTTATATACATGTTAATTTCTACGGCAGTTTTAGATCTAGCAATAATGCAGGTAATATTTTTTCGACTCTGCAAAGTGCAACACCTTACACAATTTTCATTTATGACATACTAGCTGAATGCTGATTGAGTATTCAGTTGGTATTTTTATTTGTCATCCATGGTTGGTATTGACAATTTTGACATTGACATGCTGTTATTGCTGTGATTCAATAATTGTTTCTACTTTCTATTTTTATTTATTATAACAATTCTATTTAAATTATATCAATTTCTGTTATTAAAATAAATGATTTGAAATGAATTTAGCCTGTAACTAAATTGTATGTGTTTCTATAGTAATATGTGCTAATAATTATATTAGGCGAAATTTATTCTGATAAAATATAACACTGGTAAGCAGTATTGCGTATATTATTTACACTTTTTAAATCAATAAGATCAATATTTCAAACAGCTAAACTAGTAACATATTTTATAAATGAAACTAAATATCTAATGGTATACAACTTTTTCAGCTTTGAATTGATAAGAAAAGCTGATAAACATGAATATTAATTAATATAACGATATTAAGAATGTAAACAACCATGCATTTAAAATGAATTTTACATCGAAACATGTCTTGCATTGTCTATTTTTTCGACCCTGGCTAGGTGTACCCCTAGGTATTTGGGTAGCTGTCTCAGTTGTTTATTATTGGTGGTTAATATCAAGAATAGACCTTTTAGAAACTGAAAACCAAGTTATTCGAAAGCAGCTTATCTTGAGTGACGTTCACAGTTTCATAGAGAGTGGTAATCATTATCATGTCCCACGGGTAAGTATGTTGTTTAATTTTATAATTAGCTATGACCCTTTTTGAAATTTATTATATAGAAAAAGAAAAAGTTAAATTTCTATATAAAAGGAGAAAAATAATTATAGTTTATATTTTTATCTTCATAATTTTAGTAATTAATTAAAATTTTAAACCTTTAGATAAAATTTTACCAATGTATTCAAAAACATGTTGTTCTGTCTAATTTCAGATACCAGACGAAGCAGGAACATTATGTGAAACAGTTCATATAGCCTTAGTGTGCATGGGGAAATGCACTAGAATTATTACACCTATGATAAAGTCTATGTTACATCACCGTCAAAATCCCATTCATTTTCATTTTATTGTTGAATTAGGTTCTATGAATACAATTAACAAGCTGTTTGAAACATGGGATTTACCAGATGGTTAGTATTTTTATATATATAGTTGATATTATTATATATACAGGTAAATAAAGTGAAGTGTCTTTTTGTTATGTCGAAATAAAAGCTTTTACTAAATGCATATGAAATTACATACAATACTTATAAGAAAAACACAATTTTTAACATTTTCATCTGTTTGTTCGGGCGAATCTCCAAAACAGCTTAACTGATTTTGACGGGACTTTCATTGGTAGATAGCTGATGTTATAAGGAGTAATTTATGCTACTTTTATTTTAGAAAAAGAATTAGGGTTCCTCTCAAAAAAATGAAAATGCACACAGAGACCTAAGCAAAGCAAGGGTAAATCGCTAAATGCTAGTATATTATATAGTAGCATGGTATTTTATTAAAGCTATGTATCTCAATAGAAAAATGTACAATCCTTATAAGAACATAAAAATAATAAATGTAAAATAATTCTTAATTTATTATTCTACAGTAAAATACACATGTTATAATGCTCAAGACCGTCTCTCAGAAGTAAGATGGATTCCGAACAGTCACTACTCTGGAATATATGCATTGGTTAAGTTACTATTCCCCAGTATATTACCCACATCATTAAAACAAGTGATTGTACTGGATTCTGATTTAACTTTTCTTTCTGATGTTGCTGAACTGTGGCATATGTTCAGAAATATGACTAATGATCAGGTAATAATTTAAGTGGTTGTCTGATTAAAAGTAACTAACTTAAAACAATTTTAACTTTGTTATATATGATTGTTTAGATACAGATATTGTGTTAACCGTTTCCCTGTCCCATGAGTCATATATGAACATTTCAATTGTTTAACTATTGTGTCTATCTTGCGGACAGTTAATCTGTTATACCAAAAATATGATTATTATATTATAAATTATTGTGTTATAAATAATAATATTATAAATAAAAACAACAAGTTTGTTTACTCATTAAGAGTTAGTGGTTTAAAAGAGATTTTAATTTCTATTATCAAAATCCTTTAATAATCCATCTTAAGAAAGTAAATTCATCTAAAGGAGTAGTTACTTTAGGGACTCAATTATTAGGTGTATACTTTTATTAAAAAAATTTATAAAGATTATAGATTTAAATTTACTTAGAAAAAAATCCTAACTTCCTGAGTGTGAAGTAATTTTAATGTCTAGTACCTTTTTAGTTAAAAACAATGTTTTCTTTATTTTCTTAAGTTCTGATTGCACTACCCAAATCCATTTAAAAATTCATCCTATTTTATTTGAATTTTAGTATATAGGCCTAGTGGAAAACGAAAGCAATTGGTACGCAAACAAAGAGACCCGCTGGCCTGCATTGGGCCAAGGCTTCAACACAGGTGTTATGTTGCTGGATTTAGATAAAATAAGAAAGCAAACAGACTGGACAACACTATGGCATACAACAATAAAAGAAAACCTGGAAAGACTCAAAGAAACAACACTAGCAGACCAAGATGTAATAAATGCAATTATAAAGAATAATCCCCACATTCTTTACAGTATAAGCTGTAAATATAATGTGCAAATGTCAATGCAAACATTAGCCAAGAATTGTTATAAGGAAGATGTTAAAAGTGTAAAAGTAAGTGATATGTAATTTTAAGTTCACATTTTGCTTGAATTTTAATACTTTTCTTTAATTATGTTTATATGAATAAATGAATAGTAATAACTCCTCCATTTTTACACGACTGCTCCAAAAGGTAGGTTATGTTTTTCGAGTGTATGTACATATGTATGTTTCTTTGGCATGGCTTCTATGTATGGATTTTAGCTTGAGAGGTGTCGATAGATTCATCTTAATTGTGAGAGTGGTTGTATCAAAATTAAAGAAATTAAAATTACCGATTTTTGACGCCATAGTATTTGTCTTCAAAGGTTTTTTCCTCAAAACCTATCAAGTAGATTTGCTTCTAAGATCGGATCACCTTTGGATAAAAATTTGTTATTGTTTTGATGAAAACAACAGGAAAAAGGCTGCCAATTGACTAAATTTAAATATACTTTTAATAAAATAATATTTATTTTTAGATAATTCATTGGAATTCTCCAAGCAAGTACAACGTTCGGATTCTAGATGCAGATTATTTTAAAAATATACACCAATCTTATGTCAATTTTGATGGAAATCTTTTAAGAGAGAAACTCCATCATTGTTACCAAAAGGAGGTTGTGACTTATAAGGTAATAAAATATTACATAATAATGACCTATTTTGATTACACACCATAAAAATAATAATTAATATTATTATTTTATTAAAACTTTATATTGACACAATTTGAAAACTTCACATAAAGTACTATTTAGACAAAAAGATTTTACTGTTATTATTTTTTATTTTTCTATTATTTACTCTTTGCTTGTTGATGTTGATATTTATTTTTTCTACAGCATCAAAGAACAATGAATTCTTGTTGGCAATTTTATGTTGTTGTATATGTTTGTCTATTTTATTATATATTTTCAAACCTCAAGGCCCACAATATGAACTTCTAGAAAATATTCCATTGCTCAAAACACAGTTATTTATAATATTTTTTTATCTGTAACCTCTATTCCAGATGAATCATTCAGATCTGTGTCTCAGCTTTCGCGCAGCACAACGCGTCAAGCTCAGAACCCATCTCTACTACATGGACTACAGTTACATCAATGTGGACAATTTCGATGTGACGCTGGTGCTACAGCTGTCCATGGATAGGCTACAGTTTCTTGAACGGTTGGTTAGGAATTGGGATGGTGAGTGGTTTATAAAGATATTTTATCACACATTCACTATATAGACTTTAATCGTCGATAACTAATAAAGAACTAGATACACAATCAGCATCGATCAAAAAAGTACTAGATACACAATCAGCGACAAAAAATGTCCTCACCAAATGAGCGCTCATTTGAACATTTGAGCGCGCTTTTTTTTGTAAAAACAACTGCTAAAAGTATTGCATTTACATTGTTACATATTTACATTGTTGTATATTTATTTCAACTAGAATAATTTCCTAAACACAATTGGTGACAGTTTTAACAGAATTTTAGCATGGGATTGTGTATAGTACTAGCACTTTATTAGTGATGATCGATGACTACTACTAACTTTTTTTAATGATAATATTTAACAACTTTTATGTTATATTAGTATTACTATCGGGTATTATTAGAAACAAAGATAAATTAGTTCAAATAAACGTCAATAGATGGCGTTATGTATGTTTTGTTATTGATATTTTGTTTGATTGTAAAATAAAAAAAATCCTAAATGATGTATATTCTGGTTAAAGAAATAATTTAGGTTAAGGAAAATGAAATAAATTAAATGTTACTTAATTAAATTTCCATATTTTTAGTGATTATTAAGAAATAATAATATATTATGAGTTTATAGTGTACTAGCGACTCACCCTCGCTTCGCTCGGATTCGTACCTAGGTTGATTTCCCGTACAAACTTTCATCCCCATTTTCACCCCCTTAAGGGATGATTCCGGGATAAAAAGTATCTTATGTCCTTGCCAGGGTCTCAAACTATCTTCTTACCAAATTTCATCTAAATCGGTTCAGTAGATCCAGAGATTATTCCCTACAACGTCACAAACTCCATCACAAGCTTTACCTCTTTATAGTATTAGTATAGATATACACACTGTTAACAGTTGATGATTTTGTTTATTTAAAAGGGTGTTATCTAGACGCTTTTAGATAGCGTTTGACCTGATAGATTGCGGTTGTCGATATCCAGTTTATTTTAGGGTTCCCTACCTCAAAAAGTAAAAAAAGGAACCCTTATGAGATCACTTTCTGTCCAACTGTCTGTCTGTGGGTCACCACCGATTTTCTTAGGAACTGGTGGACCTAGCAGATTGAAATTTATACCAGATACTGAGATCTATAATCCCTATTAGGTGTATAAAAATCAAGATCCTGAGTCAATACCATAAAAAGATATGAGCAAATTTAGATTTTCGCGATAACTTGTAAGTACCAAAATTTAGCTTAATTTTCAACTTTTTTATTTTTTGGAATTTTCACTTTACTTGTACTGTAGGACCTTATTTTAACCAAAATTGACAATTCTAAGCCAACCGGAAGTACCCTATAGGTTTTGGATCGAAAACCCGAAAATATGGTAGTTCCCGTTGACTAGAATCACGAAATTTGGCAAAAAGCAAGGTCTTACAGAACAAATAAAGGAAAAATTACAAAAAAATAAAAAAAGTTGACAATTAATGTTAAGCAGATAACCAGACCCTCGGTGGGCGAGTCCTACTCGCACTTGTCCGGAATTGTTTTTTAATTTCTCGAGCACAAGAGGTCCATGGCATAATACCAGATTCTCTAGTTTTACATGCAAAATACACCTTAAGATTTCCATGTAAAGCAAGTCATCATTTTGAGCTGGAATTTTTAAATTTGTGTCGAAACAGATAAGTGAAAAAACCGAAGGAAAAATCTTTTATATCATTGCTTAAATTTTCAGGTCCTTTAAGTGCAGCAATATATTTATCAGATTGTGAAGTGGCGAAACTCGAAAGCTTTATCCGCGACTGGTCGTCGACACTGAGTTCTAGGAATAATATCGGCTACCATCTTGTATTCAAACATGACTCGGTAATACTGTTTTTTTTTAATTACTGGTAACAAATCTATGTCTATGGTAATTCCATTCCCAACCACTGGTTTTAAAAATACTCAACGGATGTCGCTAAGAATACGTTTTTATCTGTGCCCAAATCTAGAAGAACTGGGAATGTCCGTGATATACCGGTAAAGAAGGAGGATTGTCCAAAAATGTACACAGTAAAAAGTTACTGCATACTTTGATCTTAGTAAAAATATTATGACTTCTAAAGTTTAAATTGCTTTTTTCTTATAATTTATTCATCCGGGCATTCTCTGTTCTTTGCCCGAACCCTTTAGCTGATATATTCATTTTTCCTTTTATATAATGCTGTAGTCTAGTGTCACGCTCTTTCTTCCTTCACATTCTTTCTTTTTAAACTGTGTTGAGCGAAGCGAGAGCGGGTCACTAAAAAATATATAAATTAAAAAATATTTTTTTTTATTTGACAGAATCTAAAATTTACACAATTAAAAAAAAAGTGTTGGATTTATCTAAATGTTTTTAATTAGTAATTCTAAAGCTATATGATTCATTATTTAATAGTTTTTTTTTTTCATTAATCTTGGTTAATGTTCACAAATCAATAAAACTAACTTTTGTACTCTCCAGGTGCACTATCCTGTGAATTATCTTCGTAATGTCGCGTTAGAAAATGTGAACACGCCATACGTTTTCTTAATGGATGTTGATTTCGTGCCCATGGCCGGTTTATACGAACATTTGAGGGCAGCCATAAAACTTATTAACCCATATCCACAAAAAAAGGTAATATTTTAATATATTCAGATTTGTCACTTGAAATTCAAATTAACCTATCTTCGAAAATATCTGATTAGGTATCTATTCTAAATAAAAAATAATTTATCCCTTCTCCATATTATGTTATTTTATTTTGTATAACATATTTTATGGTACGTTAATATATAAAATAAAGTTTGCATATAAATAAAAAGCATATAAATACATACAATATAAAATTATTAAACCGCTTACATAATATTTGTATACGAGTATTAAGATCATATAGTTTATGAAATTATATACCGAATGCTATCAACTTTCAGTGTCTAGTGGTTCCAGCTTTCGAAACCCAAAGATATAGAGCGTCCCCACCTAGGTATAAGCAAGAGCTGCTCTCCCGTCTCTCCATCTTGCACTCGTCGGGGGATGTCGGGCCCTTCAGGGCGAGGGAATGGCCTAAAGGACACAGAGCCACTAATTATACGAAATGGACGACTGCCACTGCTCCTTACGAGGTAATTATCTAGATTTGTATTCAGCCCTTTTTTTTAACGTCCCACCGCTGGGCTCCCTTCAATACGAGCTGGATCAGGCCATAGTCCACCACGCTGGCCAAGTGCAGGTTGGCCGACTTCACATGTCTGTTCTCTCAGACATGCAGGTTTTGTCACAATGTTTTCCTCCACCGTAAGACAAGTGGTAATCATGTTGGGAATGATTCGCACATGACAATATCAGAGATGCGAGACCCGGGATTTGAACCCGCTTCACTCGATTTCCCAAGTAAGCGCGATTAATGTAGTGTATATCAATTTTTAGTCATGGTGGCCTTGAATTTCTCACTAATGATGGTTTTCAATAATAATTAATCTATATATCGAAGGTGACTGTTCGTGTGTAAGTGGGTGTGTCTGCGTGTGTGTGCGGTGTGTATGTTTGTTTGTTAATCTTTCACGCTTGTACGTCTTGACGGATTTCTTTAAATAAAAAAATACCGTAGAAATAGGAGATCTGGGTACTTATTCATTTATTATTACGTGAAAAATAATATATTAATATAATATATGAAGCAATATCTTTTTTCCACTTACATTTCGCCTTACAATTTTTATATTAATATTACAACTGCAATCTCATCTCGATCTAATATCTTTAATGATACAATAAGTTTTTAAACATGTTTACATGACTTTTTGATTACAGGTTGAATGGCAGTCCGACTACGAGCCATATCTAGTAGTTCACCGCTCTGTGCCCAAGTATGATACTAGATTCTCCGGATTTGGGTGGAATAAGGTATAATATTTTTTATCTATACTAATACTATAAAGAGGTCAAGTTTGTGAGTTTGTGACGTTATAGAGGGTAATCTCTGGCTCTACTGAACCGATTTACATGAAATTTGTTAAGAAGATAGTTTGAGACCCTGGGAAGGACATATGATACTTTTATCCCGGAAATCATCCCTTAAGGGGGTGCAAACGCGAGCAAAGCTAGGGTGAATCGCTAGTATTATAATAAAATTAAAGTATTTAACGTATGATTTGTTTTGTTTGTTCGTAAAACTTAAATAACTAATCATATATTTTGTACTTACATATGTATGTGTAATCAAAAGAACAAAATGTGAACTATTTTTTATCTTTTGCATAATGAAAATGATTAATATAAAGATCTCACTAGATGAAAGTATCGAACACACACAGCGTGGATATAAAGGTACAATACCAGGGCAACATAACATGATAGGATTATAAATAATAATCATAATAATGTTAAAGTATTAGTAAAAATCAGTGCCATTGCTAAAGATACAATGTCAGAATAATATCTAAGCCGAATCTGTACATTAAATATTTTTGGAAAATCTTATTTAAATAGACATTATTATTGATACAGAAGCCGAATCCATAGTTTTTAGAATTTTTGTCTGTCTGTCTGTCTGTCTGTGACCGCATCACAGAAAAACCACTGGAGGGATTTTGATGGAATTTGGTATGATGGTAGCTGGTTATCCGGGTCAACATATAGGATACTTTTACTGCGGAAAAAATATCTCATCTCTGAGAAATCTATACAGAATATTAAAACGTAAGTAGGGACGAACCCAAGCGGAGCGAAGGTGAGTCGCTAGTAAATCATAATGTTCTCATGAACGATTTCGGCCACGGTGATCAATTTGGTTAACAGAGAATCCCATGATAGTGTTACATTCTATGAGTTCTTGGGATCGGAAATTAAAGCACGTCTTTTGCACTATTGATGTTTTATTGTTCCTGATTTGTAGAGTGACTTTTGGAGATTCAGTAACATACGCGGTATATAAACAGTTCTGGTTAAAGTCGGTCACTGGACACTAATTTTTACCACTAGATTCTCAATCTTCACTTAACTTCGAAATTCAACTGATCTCTCGACACGCTGCCGCCCTTTTTATATGCATAAACAAAGAGCATTCTAATATTCGAAACCTTTCCAGTCACTTAGAATGTTTCATTCCTCTCTCACTCTTACACACGACAATTTACAATTAACTGTTCTTGTCTAAATTCAAAGCTTTTGGTAATTTCAATGTCTTTCCCGAAATATTTTGACAACTGTCTTATGATGTATAAAGCATGCTTCAGACGTGTCTTTTTAATTATTATTTTGATGTAACGACGTCACACACTCCATTACGTTACAATAGGTTTGTCCAGGAATATATGTAGGACGTAGGTATATGTTGTTTGTCCCCCGCAGGTGTCGCACAGCGTGGAGCTGCGCGCCGTGGGCTACCGCGCCGCCGTGCTGCCCGGCGCCTTCGCGGTGCACACGCCGCACGCGCCCTCGCCCGACATCTCCGCCTTCCGCGCCGACCCCCACTACCGCGTGTACGTACATATACACTACACACCGTGGCATCATTATTCATTAACTAGCGGCCCACCCTCGCTTCTCTCGGGTTCGTCCCTAGGTACATTTTATTTTTGAGCGGAACCCTAATCCTTTTACTGAAATAAAAGTAGCCCAAGTTACTTCTTATAACATCGACTACCTGCCAGTGAAGGTCCCGTCGAAATCGGCCCAGCCGTTTTGGAGATTAGCCGGAACAAACAGACAGACAGGCAAACATCATTTTTTAAAATTGTGTTTTCCTTATAAATACCGTATATAATTCCATATGCATTTAGTAAAAACGAGATGAAATCTTTAGCTATTTTTGTTCTGTTACACCAAAAAAGTATAAGTTCTTACGTGCGTGTACATACGTACACACACACACGTTTTTTTTATTCAATAGAGAAAACGCGTGTTTTTCTACACAATACCTAACATCGTTATATAACTTTTAAAAAAATATCCAGCTCCAAAAAATTAAAATTTTCTATATATTTTATTTAAATATACCCAACGACCACTTAGCCCGATAGACGCCTAATGTATGTACTTCTGCATCCAAACCTGTCAGTCAAAAGTCTGAGGTAAGCGTCACGGGGGAGGCGGGTTGAAATGCACGCTGATTGGTTAATTCAATACAAATAGTGATGGAACCAGAAATTTTATATCGTATCGTAGGTAGGTATCGTATTTAGTAAAATAATTTTCTGTTTTAAAGAATATTATTAATTAAGACAAGTTTTCTTTACTATAATGAAATAATAATAGAATACTTAATATTATTTATACAGGTTTATTTAAAGTTTATTTACAGGTATATCCATGGTTAAAGTTTTCGGAAAACTGTCCCTTACACTCTGTATAACTAAACTACTACTTATTTACATGAACTTATTATTTATAAAAAAAAATACATTAGGTACTTATTACAATTATTTATTCTTTACATTTAGTGTATATAAATATTCATGAATTAAAAATACAAAAATTAAAAAATAATAATTATTATTATTATAGATAAATGTCATAGTACAAAAGAAATTGATAATATTACATTTTAATAAGAAGTAAAATTAACAATCATGCATTTTATTATAATTAAATAACTTATTTCTAAAAAAATATAGTTTAACTGGTACAGCACTAGTTACACGTGCCGGTAATTAAAGAAAAGTATAGCAACAATAAACTGCATTGAAAAGAAAGGGATGCATAGTCCGAGAATGTCCGAATACGTCAACGCGAGTTGCGTTGCGACCAATATAACTTGAGCTCTGGTTTAAGTACATTTAAAGAATTTGGAACTTAAAATTCACTTACCTATGAAAAGTGATGCCATTTTTTTTAAATTACATGTATGGCTACTATTTCCATACCATTTTATTGTACAGGGAGCCATGTTGCGCGTCTGTTGTATTTTTTGTGTCGGAAATTTACCAGTCTCGAGCAATGTGTTTGCGGGTCACGGATGTGGTCGCTACTAAAGTAAATCGCGCGATCGTTTTCTCAAGTCAGACGTATTTGTCTAACGTGTTGACTGAAAGTGTTCGCCTTGCGTGAGGTGTCTATTGGGCTGAGTGGTCGTTGAATATACCGTATATGCCGTTACGATACGGATATTCAAATTTTCAATGATTCAGAAGCAATAAAGATTATAAAAAAATATTTCACCTTTATTTAAATCACACGCATAGTCCCTATTACATATATTTATTACAACAAATTCAGTACGATTCGCTAATATAGTATGTAACCAACTCAAAAACCACTATTTTCAATAATATATGTTTATTTATTTCAGATGCCTTGCTTTGTTAAAACAAGAGTTTATGGACGATCTGAAGAAGAAGTACAACGTCACGTTCGACGATTCCAAAGCATAAACAAAATATAAGAGATGATGCTATATAGCAACAATAATATATAATAGTAGAGGCTATTTTAATCAACTTTAAGAAAAAGAGGTACTCGTTTCGGTTATATGTATTTTTTGTATGTTACGCGATAGCTTCGCAAATTGTAAAAGAAAGACGTCTCATACAAATTTCAAGAAATAAATTAGCTCATTAGGAATTAAAAAAATAAGTTCGTGTGTGTGAAATTCACACATGGTAGAAGTGAAACTTAATATTATCACAGATCATATAATACTACAATAACAATGGTTACCATGGCAACACGGCAATGTATTCTATCTCATTCTCTCGCCGGATATATAGGATTAACCTATATATTTAGGTATATGTTTGTCTCTTTTTAGTGTCGCATTTCCGTTTCACCGAGTTTCAAATCACAACGATTTTAAAGAAGTTTCACTTCAAAAATATTTGGAATTTGTGTGCCTTGTTACTTGATATGTTTTTTTTTAATTTTATTCTTATTAAAAATCAGTTATATATTTTAACGGTTGAAGATAAAAAAATTGTATAAGGATACGTACTAGTATGTCAATTTAATCGTGACTTTCAATTTGCTTGAATCTTGAATCCTGTAATAATGCAGCCAGTGTAGGCAGTGGTAGCGCAGTGGTAGGCCAGTGGTAACGCGCTCGCTTGGGAAATCGAGTGAAGCGGATTCAAATCCCGGGTCTATTTTCGTGTGCGAATCATTTCCAACATGATTACCATTTGTCTTACGGTGAAAGAAAACACCATGAGGAAACCGGCATGTCTGAGGGAACCTTGCAAGTTTTTAAAAGACATATGAAGTCCGCCCGCACTTGGCCAGCGTGGTGGACTATGGCCTGATCCCGCTCGTACTGAAGGTAAACACACCCCCAGCAGTGGGACGTTAAAAAAGGGATGAATACAGATCTAATACGTACTAGTATGTCAATTTAATTGTGACCTTAGATTTGCTTGAATCATGTAATAATATATAGCTCGAGCTACTTTGGTGATTATATTGAAATATATTTATTTATGTTTATTTTAGATTAGATTTAAGCGGTCATTTTTAATGTTAAAAGCAATGAAAATAATTAGTATTCCTTTGTAATATTAACTGTCCAAATTTTTCATGCACATTCCTAGTAAACTTTCAGTGTAAAAATTGTTATGAGGTTATCATGTAATTTACGCTATATATTTAACATATATGAAATACGTTCTTAGATTTTCGCGGATATTCGATATTTTAAATAAAACTATATTTTAGGGAGAAGAGTCTCTTCCATGACCATGATTGCTGATAAGCATTTGGAACATTGAGAACAAAATCTAAATAATTCCACGAAAAAAAAACTGAAAATATAGTTTTATTTAAAACTAGCGAATCACCCTGGCTTCGCTCGGGTTCAGCCCTAGCTTGCTTCCCAATACAAATTTTCATCCCCATTTTTACCCTCTTAAGGGATGTCCTTACCAGGGTCTCAAACTATCTCCTTCAGTAGATCCAGAGATTACCCCCTACAACGTCACAAACTCACAAATTTACAAACTCACAAACTTTACCTCTTTACAATATTAGTATAGATATTTATGTTATGCAAAAATAATATTACATAAATATTACGAAAAATTCATTTTCACATTAGTTGTGGTAAATAAAATCTTTTCGTAGTACTATAATATGTATAATGTACATATATTTCGTGCTTGACAAAACTGGCAAGGAATTTATTGCAACGATACTTTATTAATTTACAACTAAATTCATTGGGAATAGCTTAGTTAATTGAAGTAATATAAAAAAAAATATTTTTTTAAGCAAAACTCCTTCAATTTTTATTTTTTATTTTCATAGGTCTGACCATCGTTTATGTTTAATTTTGCTATTTGTTGTTTCATAAGGAAAAATAATGTTCATAACATCTTAGATGGCAATTTTATCAATCGATTTTAAATCGATTTCACGCTTGATAAAATACTCGTGATAGATTATAAATACAACAAAACATAAAACAATTTTTTTTTCGTAATGCATTTTACCAAAGTTTAAGTACGATAAGAAGATTTCATATACTCTCGGATCTCGGGGTTCGATTCTCATACGAAATTATATTTTATTAATCAAACAAGATTGTAAATAACTAATAAAAATTATAATATTGATATATTAACATGACATTATACTTGGAATAATGACAAAGTACGCTCTCAAAACAAATATATATTAATATAACGCCATTTTTGTGTTCAATTTTTTTTTAATTTTTTAATATATAATCAAATTTTATTTCATGTTTTATAATTTACTATTACAAAAAGTTTTGATTTAATTAGTGTATATTACCACGGTAATGGTTATATGTATTACCGTGATATTACGTTTTACAAAAATTATTTCAACCCAAAATACTCTAAAGTTTCGATATCTTTATAATAGAACTATGAAATATTTACTATAAATTATTCAATGCAATTCTCATTTTAATGAATTCAAAGCGTGCCAGTTGAGCATAGATTACTTCGCAAATGTCACGTGGAATACTATAAATTATTATAAATCTTCATTATTTTTAGTATTTTAAGACAAAATTATGCCATATCTAGACGTCTATTGCTTATACCTTAACTATAAATACATAATATATATTCTGGAATTATAATTAAAGATAATAAAAGGTAATAATCGAATTATCGTACCATAATATTAGTTATTTTGAATTTTCATGGCATTTATTAGTAAGATTTTTTTATTTTGTGATAAATGTATTAATTTTTGTGGTTTTTCTATTCTCCATCTGGTGGAAGAACAAATGGTTTCTCGAGTCATCCTAATTTATTATTATCAAACAGTATTTTATTATAAACCTCCCAATTACCAATTATTAGTAAGATATAATATTAATGTACACTGACTGTCTGTTATGTTTAAAATATGGTTTTAAAAATAAGACAGACGGACAGACGATATAAACTAACTATAATAGCTAGTCTTGACCTCTTTACCAAGTAACTCTATAAATAGATTTTTTATTTACCTGTTAAATTCTAAATCTTTTGTCGCAATATGAAAATCAAACTATTATTAACCTATTTAAATTATACTGTATTATATTTGTAGTCTAAGATCCCGATCTATTTGGTGGGCCCCTTCTTTGGGAGGGGCATTCTTTTTCCAGGTGAAATGTATTTTTAAACCATAAAACATTATCAAACACGACCCAGAGCGGTTGTCACCGAAAATTTGCTTCAGGCATTTTTTTATTAAAAAATTGTTTTGGTATGACAACCCTTTATCATTAAGATTATAAAATTATCTACATTTTTGTACTTGATTCGTTCCTGAAAACGATACGAGCAATTAACTACTTCAATTTACCTGTTTGGCTCAGTGTGTAGTGACCCTAGTTGCTGTGCCAGCGGTCGCGGGTTCGAGTCCCGCTGGGGTATTCATTGTGTGATGAGCACGAATGTTTGTACTCCAGTCATGGGTGTTTATATTTATAACATGTATGTATTTAAATTTTATATATATGTAGTGTTTCAACTATCTGGTATCCATAACACAAGCCTCGTAGCTTACCATGGAACTAGATGGTGCTGTGTATTAATGTCCCAACATATTTATTTATTATACCTGGATGTGTTAACGTGTTCGAAAAAGACCGCCAAACGTATGATGGCATTTTCTACAAGTCTTTAACTTTCGATTGATACTAATTTCTCACAGGAAAAGAGTTATTTTACTTAAAATTAAAAAAAAAAAAACATTTTTTTTAATTAAACATAGTCTGGAGCAAATTTTAGATGACAGCCCGCCTGTGTTGTATTTGTTAATATGTTTTATGGTTTAAAAAATATATTTCGTCTGGATAAAGAGTGTAGGATCCACCACATACATCGGGATCTCCTACTATTGCACATTAGCTTTAATCTTACATTAAATTTAATTTTATACATAATATATACATATAATAAAAAATTAAATTCGACCATGTGTTCCTTTTAAACCAAATGTTTTATTTAAATTAGGTTTTTCTAGTATTCTTTTAAGGATAAATAAATATTTTTATATATATGCTTATGTTAGTATTTAATTCATAATGACAAATTGATATTGTATTCTTCTATTTTAGCACACGCTTGTTTATTTGCAATATTTTAATGTAATAAATTCCTTACAAGTTCCTGTTAGTTTTATTTTGAAACCAATTGATGATGATTAGATTTCCCTAGTAGCTCTTAAAAGAACCAACAAAAGTAGTGTACAGTGCTATTTAAAATCATTTAAATTTCAAAGATTGATAAAGGTAACTTATACTTAGGGGCTTATTAGCGCCCGGCGCGAAGCCAAGAAACGCACTGGGAAGTGAGACACTTCGGAGGACGGTGTACCTTGTGGGTTGCTCCTGGTACTTCTCTGACAGCAGAGTGGACCGTTGAAGCAACCCCATAGTTGTTGTGGTCTGCTTCCGCAACAGCCAGCGTGTTGTGTTTGATTGTGTGAGCGATCCTACGGCGTCACATTAAGACAGGGTCCCGTTAGGTTTTAGTGGGTGGTACTGGCTTTTCTAGCCGGTGAGTCTCATATAAGCCGGTATGTATGCAGTTGGTTATATGGGACTAAACAACTCATTAAAAAATCTAATAAAACCCGTGGCATATTGTAAAAAGATACTAAAGATTCTTCCAATTTTTTTTGGATCAAATTGAGGGCCTAAATGAAGCGAGGGCTTGTAAAAAAAATAAAAAAAATAGTTATTTAATTATATTTCTATTGTCGTGATATATGGTAAAGTATATATTTTCATCATGTACCTAATGTTAATTGATTTGTTTCAGAATTTAGTAAGCTTCTGTACTAACTATTCTAGAGTCAGCCGTAGCTAAATAGTTATTGCTCTTAGGATTCTCTTTCGATATTAAAAGCCAAAGTAGAATGATAATTTGAAAATCAAGCTCTTGAATATCTTTTTTGAGGGTCTCTACAGCTTTTTTAGCCGTAAGTAAAGGGGAATTGTCGTTCATGGACGAACCACGAGATTCAGTCTTTTGCTTTATCATTTCTACCTTGCTGGTTAACTCGTTTAATATTTCTTGTCTCTCTGTTACACCTACACTTACATCTTTATATTCATTTGTCACTTTACTTAATTCATCCAATAACTGTCCGTATTCTCGAACTAATGGTTCAAATTGTTCATTAAGAATATTTTCCCTTGCAGTTATTTTATCCATGACAGAACTTATGTTGCCATGCAATTTATTAAGCTGTGAACCTGTAGTTTTGAATCTATCAAATAGTTCATCTCTGTAAGATCGCATTTGTGCATGCCTTGCGCGCCAATCACGCCCATCTGCTAATATCTTGAGCCTCAAAGCTGGAGCTACTCTTTCTAATTCAAGTTTCCACGCTTCCAAATCGTGAATTTTATTTGTACTAACCTCTTTTTCCTCTGTCTCGGCGAATTCTCCTTCTGATTCCTCAGAATATATAGCCATTTCTTCCTCTACTTTGTCCAAAATTATCTCAGTCTCATCTTCGATTTGATCAACGTCTTCTGGTGATTCGTCATCGTCGGGAACATTTGTTACTGGTTTTTGCCATTCGAAATTTTCATGTTTCAACGCTTGATCAGCTAAAATATTCAAAATAAAACACACTTGATCTCCATAACCTTGTTTTAATTTGTGAGAGGAGAAGTCTATGCTGATGTCACTTTCTCTTAAAACGTCAAGAATAGAAGTGATTGTAGAATTTGGGTCATCTTCTTCATTTGGTTGATCGAATTCTTTACCGGTTTTCCGAATAAGCCACGCCGCTGTCGATGCAAAGACAAAGAACTGTTCACCAGGATTCGTAGAAGTTGTAAAGTAGTATCGACTCATTGGCTTCATTTTGATTTGAGGTCGTAATTCAGTATCGATTTTGAGAATACGAAGCTTATCCATAATATTGAGATCCATGGCCACACAAAGGGTTTATACTCAGTACTTAAACGGATCTCACTTTTAAATGGCAAAGGTTAACGCCTTTATTGTTTAGTGCGTGTATTCACCGTTCCGTCGCGGCCAGTTGTTTGTTTATTTGGCATCGCTATGGTTACGTTTATACGATGTTTACTGCTTCGGCCTACCGCAACTCTATGGGAATAGTACACTATGATTGATTGGGTTTCTACTTTCTTATGTTACGTTTAGGCTAGGTTTACACGAACGAATTTGTACTATTCGAGTGCCTACTTTTTATACTATTTACATCATATATTAGAGTTATCTATACTTAGTCTTTAAATGGCTGCAAAAACTTAAAAGAACTATACACGCAACTTTATAGGCAATCAATTTTATGTTTACTTAAATAACACTATTTTATATATTTTATAATAAATACATTAAAGAATCAAGTAGCAAATATATATTTTCCTTTATCAATATAATCACAAAACTAAGAAAAAATATTTTTAATGAAATAAGTACATTTAATGCTTGATATTTTTTATTATTATATATACCTCGGCGTAGGCAACATCTGTAGTGTACGTAAGAGTTAGTTGTTTTATTAATCTAGGTATATGTTTATTTCTCTCATCATTTCTGTTACGACGTTTAAATTTAAATTAGTGTTTGGAACCGACAAAAGCGTGAATTTTGGCACCTTTTTGATATTTCAACACGTCGCTGCAGACAGCCGGACCGGCACGACTCCAACATATAGTGAATGAAGTTTTGCCAATCGTTAATGACATAGAAAAAGTATAATGTTTCAAAAAACTATAACTAAGTGTAGGTAGCTATGACAGTACGTATCTATTACTTAGAAAAACAAGAGCTGGGACGTACATTCACTATTTTAAAGAAATTCTTTATTGTAGTAGCAATTAATTGTTTGTCCATCCGTTTTAATAAAAATTATACAACCTTTTTTCCAAATATCACATAGAGCCTAAATGGAAATAGAATCCATATTTTTTACAATTTGTACGTACATCATCATCAGCTACCTGTAATTTGCGACTTTATGTATTAATAAAAGCTACTTCGAGCCTTAAGACAGCATTCACTATTTTTTAAATATTATTATTATCAATCTTATAGTTGCCTTTATTCAATGAAAACATCGAACTCTTATAAAATCACTCACATAACTGAGCTTTATTCGAATTATAATTTATAATCTAAAACAGTTAAAGAGGTAAAATACCAATGTCATCCTTACCGATTTCGGCCACGGCAGTAAATCTCACTGAGAATAAGACAGTATAAGATAGTGTTCAAGAAATATTATAGTGCATGCGTATACAAGAAAGCACTCTCTATTCCTATCACTCCCATACGCAAGTCCGACGGCTTTGCTTGCTCTCTGGATACCGCCAACTTCCCAACTCTAGGCTGAGAATTTCCTGACAGAAAAATTCAATAACTAAATTTGGCGCGAGACGCGAACTCAGGACCTCCTGATCTGCTACCGTACATGGAAACCACTAGACCGCCGAGGCAGTTAAAGAGTTGCAAAATAATATCTTGCCTAATAATTTCTTAATATATGCATAGGCATTTCTCATCCGTCATTTGCAATTAAATTAAATGCAAATTAATGTGTAGCCATAAAAAAAAGCTACTAATTATACATTAGTAGGCTATTAACATAATATATTACTTATTTATCCTAAAAACTAATAAAATAATCTTAATTCTGAACAAAAATATGAATATTTAAGAGAATTATTTATTTTTACTGATTTCTTGATTTATTTCTTAAAATCCACGCCGTCTTATATTGTATTTGACTAAATAATACAGCAAAAATATGTGCATTCTTTTTAGTACTGAGTAGGTACTAGGATTGCACAACATTTCTTTATAAGGTTTACGAAACCTAAGCCAAAAGTTCACAGGATATTGTTTTTATGCGTCATAAGAATTTTCCATTATTTTAAAATAAATCTGTGGTTACAGGATGTCGTAAATAAAACACACAAAACCTAGTATTGACTATATGAATGATTATACATATTACATACATTTATACGATGATACGTGTAGCTTAGGTTGTAGTGACTAACTATTATGCCAGCGGTCGCGGGTTCGAATCGCGCTGGGGGCATTCATTTGTGTGTTGAGCACGAATGTTTGTACTCCTTTCATGGGTGTTTATATTTTTCATGGGTATTTATAATTTTAAGACTATTATTTCGCGAGCATAACAATTTATAATATGGATTTTATCTTGGAGACATTTTGACAAAAATAGTGCATAATATTTTATTAATACTTGAAGTTGCTATGCACACAAATATATCTTTATATACATACATACATATATTAAAATTCACGAAATATATAGATTAGTAAATCAAACAAGTAAAGTAACAACATAGCAAAGTTTCATCTCAATCGGAAGAATAAATTACAAATACATCCGCTACAAAAAGAAATGGATTTTTATTGGATGCATTTTTATTTATTTTTAATTATGTAATTGCCGTCATTATTTGGTACTATAAAGTCGTTACAGCATTATAATATATTAAAAGAATCGTTTAAACTTAATAAATCTGACAAACGTATGCAATATTTGTAAAATCGTTTTGTTAATTAAATCTAATGTCATAATATTTGGCCTTTAAATAAAAATAAGCCATTTTTCTATTGCATTCTGACGATATAATTGATTCAGATATATACTATCTATACGTTAGAAGGTTGGCTGACTAATACCGTGTGTCATACAGACGTACACACCAACGAACAAAATTCAATCGTCATTTGAGGTTTGAAGAATTTCATTAAGTACCTATTAATAAATCATCCGGTGCTATAATTAGGCTCTAACGTGTTCATTTACAGTTATTCTGTTAACAAAAAAACCACCATTGCGTCACATTTCAAAGTAAATATTTATAATCTTTACATTTAAAAAGAATACGTAAAAATGACGTCCATTAATTGCATCTTAAAATAAAATTTTACTTCAAAAATAACAGACTGTCGATCATACGAAAAGATACTAGTAGTAATATAAATATGTGAAAGATAGTGAAATAAATTTTATTAATCCAGTAAAGCTTTCATATATTATTTTTAGAGTTAGGGCCTGCCTGTATGTCAGTTCCGTGGCGCCACGGCTGCGCCTGCATTCACCTTGTGCAGTCGCCACACTTTTATTTCGGTGCATTGTTTTTACAAAAATCATATCAAAGATTAAATTAATGTATATAAAGTAAACAAATTATGCTCCAGTTTATGTCAGCAACAATTTCTGCTAAATTATTGTTTTTTTAAGGAAGCTTTTAAGTAAGTTTCCGAATAAATGACTGTTTTTAAAATATGTAGGTATGTAAACGTAAAACGCACGAAAAAATAAAAAAATGAAGAAATAGTGAAGACATATTAAAAATTGTACCTAACGATAAACTAAATTCATTTATAAGAATAAATTTTATAAGTTAAAATAAATCTTAGTTGCATAAAAATAACCACACAATGGATTTCCAGCGGCGATGGCTTTCTACAGGAAGGAACAAGCATTGTTTCGCACTTCCAATAATTCCTTTACGGAAACTGCAAGTTCATAAAAACATAATCTTCCCATTTAGAAAGCAATACAATAGCGTCGCAAGCATTGCAGCGAACTACCATAAGCTCTATCAAATGCTAAAGTTCATAATGAAACTTTCAACAAGGCCGATTAAGCAACACATCGAGCTGGTCGATTTCACATATAAAACAAACAAAAAATGAATAAAAAGTTCCCCAATAAAGAACGGCTTTATCTCGTATTACTGACGCGATAAAATTAGATTCGCCGGCGAGGGCCTGCGCGGGCGCAGTCGCAACCTCGCCACCCAGCGCTCGCGACGTGAGGCACACGGTTACATAAAAAAATACCATTGTTTTATCATCGCGTTGTGTTAACGATTTTGTGCAAGTGCTTAAAGTGTGTGTTTCTGTGATTTTTTCTCATAAACAAAACAATTTGAATACATATGCGCATGCGTTGAAGTTGCAAGGTGAGTGTACTTATAAGGTTCGAAAGTTAACTTTTCCCGACTGGAATCGACGACGATTTACACGGAATTCGGTTTTAGCTTATACGACATCGTGTTAGCGGGTCACACCTTTCGTCTATGAAGATGTATGCTAAATTGACACACATTAGATATGCTAATTTTTTAAATGCCATATTAATATATAATGGTACAATATATTTTTAGTAGCTTTAAATATTATTTAATTTCTTTCCTTTGGGTAGAAGACAACAATTGCAATACCTTTCCTTTTATTGCACTGATAAGATTATGAGAGGCTTAGTGATAAAAATGTATTTGTAAATGAACGTTTTTTTCGAGTTTAAATAAGGTGCATCGATCAACTTAAACCTATATAGTTTAACATATTGCAAAATAACTTTCTTATTTAAGATGGACAAAAATTAAAAACGTGTCCATAAACATCTGAAAGTAAGTGATAAATATGATAATACCTATAATGTAAAATTGTGTTACTTTAGTTAAATAACCTTATTTAAAGACTTTCAGCCATTCATTCGTATATGTACATATGTATTATGTACCTAATGCTTTTCTTGAATACTAATTTTATGTATGACTTGCATTGCCCGCGGCTCCGCCCGCGTCTCCGCCCGCGTTCAGATGACCGAAAACCAAATTCTTAGGTTTTACATATTAGTATACTTTTATATTGCAGTTTTTGTATTTTTTCTCAAAAATGAGATATTTTCCTGCGGTAAAAAGTATACTATATGTTGACCCGGATAACCAGCTATCACCATACCAAATTTTAATGAAAATCCTAATTAATTAAAATACTTTTTTAATATTAAAAATTGATATTTTTAAAATATGCTGATCTCTTGACATGAATATACATATATTTAGTAATAATTATATTACTTAAAATATAAGCCTACCACTGTTGCAGCGCAGTGGCAGCCATATGGCCGGCACTATCCAATTACCAAAGGTCACAAGTTCAAATTCTACATGAAACGTTTTTGACATGAGATATTAGTCTTAATAAAATAGTGTAGTACTGAGACAGATAACTGTATATTCATCAAAAATAATTTGAAAGATAAAAAGAAATGGTTAGTCATTAAGTCTTTTTTGTAAAGGTTATTTTAATTAATTTCTTTAGGTAAAGTATACTTTAATAAAAATATATCTATTATTAAGTCTATATTCTCAGGGATAGTGTAGCTTTCTATTAGTGAAAGTATTTTTATAATCGGTTGAGTTGCTATAGAGATTATTATAATTACAATTACAAATAAACAAACTTAGTTCTAATATACAATCATTAGATTAAAGTATAAGAAGAAAAGGAATTTGATTACGAAATTATCTCAATCTTGAAGCTAATCTGACTTTAAATACTAACGTTATGTCTTCATACTAATATGGCTGTATTCTACTATCACTATATTGCTTAATTTCTTACAACACAGTTATGACTACAAATATTAAAGAATACGGTTAGTCACGAGTGTATTAATTAGTTTTATTTTTTTATAATTACACACTTCAATAATTGCAGCTTCAATATTGTAATTTAAAACATATTTAAATTAACAAATAAATGCTTAAAATATATCATTCAGTTAAAAAAACTAAATACATAAAAATGACACATATATATATATATATATATATATATATATAATATATGTACGTCAATATATTTTGAAATAGCTCTATGTAGAGTCATTATTGTACAAATATATTCTTTAAAAGTACAATTACAACACTAATTTAAAAGTACAATTTATATAATACTGTCTTAGATTTACGCGAATATTAAACATTCTAAATAAAACTATCTTTTCGGAGTTTTTTGCGGATTTATTTTGATTTTAGGTTCCCGACGTTTCGAATGCTTTATAGCAATCATGGTCACGGGAGAGACGTTTTACACGTATAATACAATGTTTATTAAGTACGTTGGTTTTATATATTCCATATGAAGACATTGAATTGAGATTATTACAGTTTTAATGATAGATATATATGTACCTAAGTGCATTTGTTGGCTTATCCTTGATTCACGCAAAATCGATAAACAGCTCGACGTGATTTTTTTTTTCTTTTAGATAATGTGATTTTAAACTCACAGATAAAATCTTTCATACCCCAGTACTACAAATAGATCAAATATATTGTAGGTAATAAGTTACAAATGAATCTTTAATAGTTATCACTATATTAAAATAAATTTGTAATTGTTTCTCATAAACGTCTAACAACTCCATGATTTCACATCAAAACACTGTTTTGAAGAATAAATATTCCGCATTCTTGAAACCTTTAAAACATATTACTCGTGGAAGAGAACAACTATTGTTTTGGTAAACAAAAACGAACACGGAGTGATGAATAACTGAAAGGATAACAAGGCTGGACTATGAGAATGTTTTTGTAAAACAGTAGAATTATTATAATTTATGGTATAGGAATCATAAAATATATTGATAAATATAAAACCTCTTTCTAACATTTTATAGTCAAGTAGATTTATATTTATAGATAGAGCCAATAAATATTTTTGCAAGTGGCACCACTTGTGTGGTATGTCAATAAAAAGTAATCCAGGATATATCCTCTTACTATAGCTTATAAGTTATCTCCATTCCAATTTTACTTAAATCCGTTGAACCCTCACAAACTTTTGTGTTTGTATCTATTCAAACACAAAAGTTGAGACAATATGAGATTATTGAAACAATGTGAGACTAGTAACACGCAACAATCTCGCACCGTATCCCCAGTAGCTTTTGCAATAAACTACTAGCGGAACCATATAGCTTTTTAGAAAAGAACTCAACTCACGTAGAAATTAAAAAGTTTAAAAAAATCAATATTGCCATATTCAAAAAAATAAAAACAAGTCCCGCTTGTACGGCCACTATACAGTATATCAAGAAACAATCATTCTCGTAATATATCCAAATAAAATTAAAATGATAAATCTTCTTTAAATAAAATGAAATAGTAATAAAAATCGCTTTATGAATATTATTATTATAAGTGCAAAAGCGTGTTTGTTATTGTGTCCTTATTAGATGTAATATAATTTTGGCACTCTTTTATACTTTTAACAAGTTATCACTGAGTAAGTTTACTACATTTTATATTTTTTCCACTTGCTACATATTTCCCTACAACATGGACATGACGAACAACCTCTGTCATAGCCTTCGTCATATAATATCAATACTGATTGAAAACTAATGCTATAAACTTAATGTAAAACATAATATGTGCTACTATCCATTTCCATACTAATATTATAAATGTGAAAGTGTGTTTGTTTGTCCTTCTTTCACGTTAACACGGAGTTGTTGGAGAAGTTGACGGATTGGCGTGATTTTTTCTGTGGAGATAGTTGGTACTTTTTGTCGCGGGAGATTATCTCATTCCCACGGGAAAACACGTTATAATACAACCCAAAAAATATTTATTGTCAGAATTACTTGAAACTTGGTATTAATGCTCTTTAATACAATGAAATAAATACAAGTTTTAGCATTTTTCGAACTTCATCACATAAGGGGGGTAAAAGAGGGGATGACAGTTTGTATGAAACCTATCTTTTTAGTTCTTTTAGTAGTTTTAGCGCGAGCGAAGCCGTGGGTTCTGCTAGTATATGTATAAACAATAATAGTCAAAAAAGCCTAATAGTAGGACAATTTCACCATTAACTTAATATGCAAATATTAATTAGGCAGCTGTAAAAAAATCAGCTGGTGGGTAATAAATTTATGGCCTAGTTATTGCTACATATTGGCTGTGAAGGACGCTTTTGTCAGATAATTTATTGTATAGAACAAAGTGTTTTGGTGTATTTTATTAAATTACCTTGAAATAAAACTACTAACTTACGTACGTAGTTTGGATAATCACCCATTCGAAATGCCTTCTCTATCGATTATGTATTCAGCCCTTTTTAACATCCAACTGCTGGGCACGGGCCTCCATTCAATACTAGGAGGATCAGGCCATAGTCCACCACGCTGGCCAAGTGCAGGCGGACTTTACATGTCTTTCGAAAACTTGCTAGGTTTTATCAAACATGCAGGTTTCTTCATGATGTTTTACTTCACCGTAAGATAAATGATAATTATCGATATATATGATGGAAATTATCGATATATATTGATAATTTTTGTAGAGAAAAAGTTGGGTTTGGTTAAAACGAAGCGACAAGAATTCAGGTTCATAGGAATAATTTTTTAAAATGGCATAGAAATCTTGACCATAATATGTAATACATACTACGAGTATTTTCTCTAAACGGCCGACTGTCAATCGTTATGCGCGCCGAGGTCAAACAAATAATCTGGGCAATCTGCTAAATCGCGGACACGAATAAAAATTGATCTCAAAATAAAAATATCTTTACAAATGAACACTCATTTCCACAGCTTTTTATATCGCTAAAGACACTTAGTGACACACGAACTATTGCAGCGACAAAGTTATATTTGTTTCTTTGATATTACTCAGTTTCCTAAGAGACTTATTTTAGAAATTACTTTTGTTAGTAATTTTACGAAAATAAACTGTAGAATCTGCTACCCACCACTTTGAATAAAATCATAAAATAAAATTGTAACACGACCATAAATATTTTGTATATTTTGGAATTGAAACAGCTGTATAATCCATATTTAGATTAATTTGTTTTTACTCATTGCGCTGATTTTTTTTACATATTATCTACGAGTTTATTGAAGTCCATATATGCCAAATGTAATTTAAAAGTTTTGAATAAATCCACTAATGAAGCTTATATTTCCAGTTATACGTGTCACCATAACAGACGAATATACTCGTAATAGTTAAAGTTTGTGAATTATATACACTGGACAGCGAATGCAAAAATAGTTTAAGTACTGATCATAGGATTTGGCAAAAGTTTCACGACGGCCGGCTGCGTGACATCAACCCTCCTTGGGAATGCCATTAGTAAAAACACTGATATATTGTCAAAT